TGCTTAACATACTTCGAAATGGATAAATGAAAGCTTAATTTGCCATTTGCCGTCTTCATCGACCTGGCCAAGGCTTTTGACTCTGTCAATCACCGCATTCTTATTGGCAGACTAAATAGCCTTGGTTTCTCAAAAGACTGCCTCACCTGGTTCAACAACTACTTCTCAGATAGAGTTCAATGTGTCAAATCGGAGGGCCTGTTGTCTAGACCTCTGGCAGTCTCTATGGGGGTGCCACAGGGTTCAATTCTCAGGCCGACTCTATTCTCTGTGTATATCAATGATGTCGCTCTTCCTGCTGGTGACTCTCAGATCCACCTCTACGCAGATTACACCATTTTGTATACATCTGGCCCTTCATTGGACACTGTGTTAACAAACCTCCAAACGAGATTCAATACCATACAACACTCCTTCCGTGGCCTCCAACTGCTCTTAAACGCTAGTAAAATTAAATGCATGCTCTTCAATCGAACGCTGCTTGCACCCGCCCGCCCGACTAGAATCACTACTCTCGGCGGGTCTGACTTAGAATATGTGGACAACTTCAAATACCTAGGTGTCTGGTTATACCATAAACTCTCCTTCCAGACTCACATTAAGCATCTCCAATCCGAAGTTAAATCTAGAATCGGCTTCCTATTTCGCAACAAAGCCTCTTTCACTCATGTTGCTAAACATGCCCTCGTAAAACTGACTATCCTACCGATCCTTGACTTTGGCGATGTAATTTACAAAATAGCTTCCAACACTCTACTCAGCAAATTGGATGTAGTCTATCACAGTGCCATCCGTTTTGTCACCAAAGCCCCATATACTACCCACCATTGTGACCTGTATGCTCTCGTTGGCTGGCCCTCACTACATATTCGTCGCCAAACCCACTTGCTCCAGGTCATCTATAAATCCCTTCTAGGCAAATTCCCACCTTATCTTAGCTCATTGGTCACCATAGCAACACCCACCCGTAGTATGCGTTCCAGCAGGTATATCTCACTGGTCATCCCCAAAGCCAACACCTCCTTTGGCCGCCATTCCTTCCAGTTCTCTGCTGCAAATGACTGGAACGAACTGCAAAAGTCTCTGAAGCTGGAGACACTTATCTCCCTCACTAACTTTAAGCATCAGTTGTCAGAGCAGCTTACCGATCACTGCACCTGTACACAGCCCATCTGTAATTAGCCCACCCAACTACCTCATCCCCATATTGATATTTATTTTGCTCATTTGCACCTCATGTTCTACACATCTATCACTCCAGTGTTAATACTAAATTGTAATTATTTTGCACCATGGCCTATTTATTGCCTTACCTCCATAACTTACTACATTTGCACACACTGTATATATATTTTCTAATGTGTTTTTGACTGTACGTTTTGTTTATTCCATATGTAATTCTGTGTTGTTGTTGTTTTTATCACACTGTTTTGCTTTATCTTGGCCAGGTCGCAGTTGTAAATGAGAACTGGCTTACCTGGTTAAATAAAGGTTAAATAAATACAATTTGGGTAACTTCAAAGTGATATGAAATACATTTGAATGAGTTAAAAGTACAGCAGCTTTGTTTACACATTGCAGGTCAGATTTCTCCAGGTAAAAATAATGCATAGGCACGCATAGGCCTGTTGACCATTTTTGTCACGCACGTTCTATCTGTTGCTCTGATGTTGCTAGCTTGATTTTCTGAATAAAACTGGAAACTGGAATTGTGGGCAATTTTAATTCAGCAAGACAGGGATTCCTCATTGACGAGTGCCAGTATCACAATGCTATGGACAGTGCCAATGATAATCACAAAAGCCTGAGCTAGCTGTCTACTGGTAAGTGAAACTACAGTACAGTAGTTAAACAGCAAGCTAGCGAGCTAATTTAGCTGCCTAGCAAAGAGCTGTCGATATATTATTCAAGCATTGCTAAATGTGCAAACCGGTGGTGTAGCCTACTATAGTAAAACAAAATGTTTGTGCACTTGCAAACTTTTCTGGAGTTGTTAGCTGGCTAATTGTTTTCCTCTTGGATGTTTTGTTTACTATTGCAACCTTTTGAATAGCGAATTTATTTTATAACTCAACATAGGCTAGCTAGTTGCTAAGGTTAGACTTTTCCAGACAAGTGTTTGCACTGCAAGACTGAGATCAAGCAGCTAACGGCACTATAGTTGCCCCACAGTGTATTGTTGTCTAGCAAAGTAAATTAGAATTACATTTTATATCTTACGTTCATAGTTGACTTTTAGAACACAGCAGCCTACATGCTTTAACTTGATTAGACCCTAGTGGTTGATATGGATCAAAGGATGGCTGGCCCAGCAGCTGCTTGACAACTCTCAGGTAGCCTAGACTCTACAGTCGTGGTCCAAAGTTTTGATAATGACACACGTATTTGGTCTTCACAAAGTTCGCTGCTTCAGTGTTATGAGATATTTTTGTCAGATGTTACTATGGTATACTGAAGTATAATTACAAGCATTCCATAAGTGTATGCAAAGAGTCAATATTTGCAGTGTTGACCCTTCTTTTTCAAGACCTCTGCAATCCGCCCTGGCATGCTGTCAATTAACTTCTGGGCCACATCCTGACTGATGGCAGCCCATTCTTGCATAATCAATGCTTGGAGTTTGTCAGAATTTGTGGGGTTTTGTTTGTCCACTCGCCTTTTGAGGATCGACCTCAAGTTCTCAATGGGATTAAGGTCTGGGGAGTTTCCTAGCCATGGACCCAACATTTGTTTTGTTCCCCGAGCCACTTAGTTATCACTTTTGCCTTATGGCAAGGTGCTCCATCATGCTGGAAAAGGCATTGGTCATCACCAAACTGTTCTTGGATGGTTGGGAGAAGTTGCTCTCAGAGGATGTGTTGGTACCATTCTTTATTCATGGCTATGTTCTTAGGCAAAAATGTGAGTGAGCTCACTCCCTTGGCTGAGAAGCAACCCCACACATGAATGGTCTCAGGATGCTTTACTGTTGGCTTGACACAGGACTGACGGCAGCGCTCACATTGTCTTCAAGGTGTTTTCCGGATGCCCCAAACAATCGGAAAGGGGATTCATCAGAGAAAATGACTTTACCCCAGTCCTCAGCAGTCCAATCCCTGTACCTTTTGCAGAATATCAGTCTGTCCCTGATGTTTTTCCTGGAGAGAAGTTGCTTCCTCGCTGCCCTTCTTGACACCAGGCCATCCTCCAAAAGTCTTCGCCTCACTGTGCGTGCAAATGCACTCACACCTGCCTGCTGCCATTCCTGAGCAAGCTCTGCACTGGTGGTGCCCCGATCCCGCAGCTGAATCAACTTTAGTAGATGGTCCTGGCGCTTGCTGGACTTTCTTGGGTGCCCTGACGCCTTCTTCACAACAATTGAACCTCTCTCCTTGAAGTTCTTGATGATCCGATAAACGGTTGATTTAGGTGCAATTTTACTAGCAGCAATATCCTTGCCTGTGAAGCTCTTTTTGTGCAAAGCAATGATGACGGTACATGTTTCCTTGCAGGTAACCTTGGTTAACAGAGGAAGAACAATGATTTCAAGCACCACCCTCATTTTAAAGCTTCCAGTCTGTTATTCTAACTCAATCAGCATGATGGAGTGCTCTCCAGCCTTGTCCTCGTCAACACTCTCACCTGTGTTAACAAGAGAATCACTGACATGATGGCAGCTGGTCCTTTTGTGGCAGGGCTGAAATTCAGTTGAAATGTTTTTTTTTGGCAAAGAGGGAATTTGCAATTAATTGGAATTCATATGATCACTCTTCATGACATTCTGGAGTATATGCAAATTGTCATCATCAAAACTGAGGCAGCAGACTTTGTGAAAATTAGTATTTGTGTCATTCTCAAAACTTTTGACCACGACTGTACAGCATGTCATGACGTCTTGCCTGTGTTTGTTTTGTTGACAAAACAAAATATAAAATGTAAACAAAATGACGAAACTGACACTTACTGAGTCTGGCTTTAAGTACATTTTTCCTCAATAAAGATGTTATCAGCAAAGGCAGTGCTAGTAGGAAAAGAGAAGTGCACGTTTATTTTCTTTCTTTCTTAAACATTTTTGTTATGGGGGAATACAATCTCTCACAACATTTAAAAAGAAAAAAAACATTGACCATTATGGTTACTGTAACCATAGAAAGCACAGTGAAATGAATTACAGTAAGTGAGACAGTAATTAATACTACCATGCCCCTCATACTTGCAGGAAAATAACAGCCAAGTTACGTTCCACGCTAAATTTAATGGGGCAAAGTCAAATCTTAAGATTTACGCTTCCAAAGAACCTTTCCAACACCACAGAAGAGCATACAAATATTAACCACTGAGCCAAAATAAAAAATCACTGGTCATTTTCAGTAATAAATGTTTGTATTTAAAAATATACATTGATGCATTTATTTCATTTATTTCCTGCCCTGACCTGTGTGGTTTACGGTCAACATAAAAGTGTTTCTTAATCGCAAATTGGTTTGAGGATGACGAGATGTAACTCAGAAGGTAAATAAAGCTGATGTAGTCTATTGTGTTGTTATTTCTTAATGTAAAATGTTAATGTGACATGACATAGCAGTCTTTCTGATATATTGATTAATCTTTGAAATTAAAACATTAACCACTGTATTTTCTTTTACATTTTGTTGACTGCTTTATTGAAATGAACAATTGACATCTTACTACAATTTATTCACACACAAAATACTACATTTATTAGTCAAATGCAACTGTAATAAACACAGACCTTCTTATTCTAGTAATGAATGACACTCAAATGTATAGTGGAAAATAACCATAATGGGTCCAGACAAGCTTGCAGTGTTAAATCCACTGGATATACACCAAGAACATTTCATATTATTTCTCTAACATGATTTTAAGTGAAGGTGTGATTATGGGAACCAGTTAATAAGCATTATGAGGGTACCACTGTAAAGGAAGTATTAGTTAGACCCTCTCTCTACTGACCCACCCTCAGTGGTGCCCCCCTCTTCACTTCCCACCCAACCAAACGTCTTTGGTGCAATTCCTCAACACAAATACAAAAAGACAACTCGTTTTGGCAGTCGCTGAGTCTGGACACCAGAGGCCCTCAGGCAGAGACACACACGTTGCGCAAAGGATTTATTACCTAGCACAACTTGGAGCAGGCACTCAAATATCAGAGTAGCCACAGTGTTGCTTGAAAGGAGCACAGCTGAGAGCGCTGAGGACTGTGAGCAGGTAGGTCGTTCTTCCCTCTCTCTGGCAGAATGCGGGGGTCGGACGAGATGGACCAGCATGGAGGGAAAAAACAAACCGGGCTTGTACCTTTTTAAAATTGTGCCAGTAATGTTATTCTATTATGTGACTTGAGGAAAGCTCAACATTCCATAATGTACAGAAAGTAGTATTAATAGTGTTTAGGTGTTCTGGGAAATATAGTGATAATGCTATTCTGCAAATTAGTATGTAAGCAGGTGCTTGTATGACCACATGGATTTTCAGTTGATATTGAAAGATTAGGGTGTAAAATAACTTCAGCATGGCTGAATACCTTTAAAAAGGTACATAAAAGACAAAGGTGGAAGGGTACTAAATGTCGCAACTGTTTACTTTGTGGTCTTTAAGTTTTTAATGCCCTCTAATTTCAGTTACTCAAGTTACTGAATACCTCATTAAGTTTGTTATGGACTTGCAGTTACTTATGTGTCTGACATACTCTACTGTACATTTGAATGGGATTCCATATGAAGAGGCACATCTGACTTGGTGGTGGTGCATAATATCTTTTTAGTTGGGCATGTGTGTTCTGCAGTTTGAATTTCACAGTTGTGGAATTTGTGGAGCTGGATCATAGCCGTGAGGTCATAGCCGTGAGGTCATAGCCGTTAGGTCATAGCCGTGAGGTTGCCGGGTGACGGCTAACTATAGGCGGAGGTGTCAAATAAAAATGCAGTCCAATATATATATATATATATATGTATATATATGACGCCATAGCTAGAGTGGGCTGGTTTTAAAGTCAAACGGCAAAAAGGTATTCTGAAATCAGTGCAATTTAGACAATACATATACTGTATATATATATATATATATATATATATATATATATATATATATATATATATATAGGCTATATAGGCTATATAGGCTATAGCCTATTTATTGCCTTATTGCCTTACCTCCATAACTTGCTACATTTGCACACACTGTATATACATTTTCTGTTGTATTTTTTGACTTTATGTTTTGTTTTACCCCATATGTAACTCTGTGTTGTTGTTTTTATCGCACTGCTTTGCTTTATCTTGGCCAGGTCGCAGTTGTAAATGAGAACTTGTTCTCAACTGGCTTACCTGGTTAAATAAAGGTGAAATAAAAAAAATAAAAAACTATTAAAAAAACTATAATGTATATATATATATATATATATATATATATATATATATATATATATATATATATATATACACACACACACACACACTGAGTATACGAAACATTAGGAACACCTTCCTAATATTGATTTGCACCCCCTTTTGCCCTCAGAACAGCCTCAATTCGCCGGGGCATGGACTCTACAAGGTGTCGAAAGTGTTCCACAGGGATGCTGGCCCATGTTGACTCCAGTGCTTCCCACAGTTGTGTCAAGTTGGCTGGATGTCCTTTGGGTGGTGGACCACTCTTGTTATAAACGGGAAACTGTTGAGCGTGAAAAACCCAGCAGCGTTGCAGTTCTTAACACACTCAAACCGGTATGCCTGGCACCTACTACCATACCCTGTTCAAAGGCACTTAAATATTTTGGCTTGCCCGTTCACCCTCTGAATGGCACACATACACAATCCATATCTCAATTGTCTCAGGGCTTAAAAAATCCTTCTTTAACCTGTCTCTTCCCCTTCATCTACACTGATTGAAGTGGATTTAACAAGTGACATCAATAAGGCATCACAGCTTTCACCTGGATTCACCTGGTCAGTCTATGTCATGGAAAGAGCAGGTGTTCCTAATGTTTCATACACTCAGTGTGTACCTTGTGTGTGTGTGCAGACATTTAGACTAACGGTTAAGAAAATACGAATGACTTGTATCTACATTAACTTTTGTTGTGTCATTTAACAGAAACAGAAAGAAATTAGAAGATACATGATTGTATTTGGAAACAATGCAGTTGAACAAAAGGAACATAACATTAGCAAAATGCCCTGTGCGTTACAATGGTGAAGCATGTGCCAAACATACCTTGCAGTCTCTATTGTGTCATTTATGCATGAACTTGGCAGCTCCCTTAATTGAAAATAATTGAGAAAACCATTTGCCAATTCAAATGCTACTCTTCAGATACAGCACTCGTTTGTTGCCAAAACCCCCTTGTCATCAAGGAACAGTTTTGTGTGAGTTATACAGCTGAAGTCAGAATCTGGGTTAGACACTCTCAGCTGTGGTCAGGGTATGTGTGAAAAATCGCCGGGAGAGACACTTGAGAACCTCTCAGATGCCAGTTCAAGTGCGCGGTCAACAGTGCAGTCAATGGTGGAAGACAGAGTTACTCAGACTTGTCTCGCACCATTTTAGTAATAGGTACGCGGGTCATTCCACGAAATGGGTGCCTTTTGCGTCCCATTGTTTTTTAAAGTACAAATGTTCCACCAATATTGAATTTTAAAAGTCCATACTTAATATAGACCACATGGATAATTCAATAAATCAGTTTTTTTAAAAATCTGAATAAAGGCTTGTTACTGTGTCAAAATTCAGCATTCCCTCCATCAACACTCTGTCACTTCTAGGAAGATTTCAACCCACTTAATCCAAACATTTCTCCAATTTTCACCATCATTGTAAAGGCCTAGTTATTTAGCTGCTTTAACAAAGTAAGTTCTGAAGATTATTATTTATATGCATGTGATTAGTGATGCATTTACATCTGTCTCTAATTTTAAAGTGAAACCCTGTTATGCAAACAATTTGCCCCTTTAAAATAATGTACCATTCCACCAAGTTAAATGATTCACAGCCGTTGACATCCTTTGGGTCTTCTGAACAGCATGGTAGAAAGGGAAATAAGTCTTCTATCTCTTTTCGTGGTTCGTAGATTTACATATTGACCGTTCATTGGTCCTTTTATTTCGTTAGTTGTAAGAATAGGCGGGGATTAAAAGCTGAAGTTGCCCCTGGGTGTTGATCTAAGGTCAGTTTGGAATTTTCGTGAAGATTTGGGGATGGTAACCTCAACAAGATTCTTAATTCTAGATCAGTTTCTACTTACATATTCGCAGAGCCAGAGAGTATACATTTACATTTTAGTCATTTAGCAGATGCTCTTATCCAGAGTGACTTACAGTTAGTGAGTGCATACATTTTTTCATACTGGCCCCCCGTGGGAAACGAACCCACGCATTGCAAGCGCCATGCTCTACCAACTGAGCTACACGGGGCTGTGTGTATAGGCACAGAGGGTTACTTAAAAGTATCTTTGGTATAGGCAGTGGGGAAAAAAGTACCCAATTGTCATACTTGAGTAAAAGTAAAGATACCTATATAGAACATGACTCAAGTAAAAGTGAAAGTCAACCAGTAAAATACTACTTGAGTAAAAGTCTAAAAGTATTTGTTTTTAAATATACTTAAGTACCAAAAGTAAATGTAATTGCTAAAATATACTTAAGTATCAAAAGTGTTCTTTATATTAAGCAAGCACAATTTCATTGTTTTTAATTTATTTACGGATAGCCAGGGGCACACTCCAACACTCACACATAATTTACAAACTAAGCATTTGTGTTTAGTGAGTCAACCAGATCACAGGCAGTAGGGATGGCCAGGGATGTTCTCTTTATAAGTGCTTGAATTTGACAATTTTCCTGTCCTGCTAAGCATTAAAAATGTAACGAGTACTTTTGGGTGTCAGGGAAAATGTATGGAGTAAAAACTACATATTTTCTTTAGGAATGCAGTGAAGTAAAAGTAAAAGTTGTCAAAAATAACAAAGTACTGAACCCCCCCCCCCCCCTCAAAAAATAAATAAATAACGATTTAAGTAGTACTTTAAAGTATTTTTACTTCAGTACTTTACACCACTGTTGTTGATCTATTTATAATTGTTTAATCATGAGATGGTCTAGCTCAACACATCAACCCTGTTAGCTCAGTTAATCTTAAGAAAACTTGAATTTTATTAAACTTTCATAATCTGTGGAACATACTGTATGTATAATGAACACCATGTGGTACCATGCTCTTCACCACATGAGGAGTATGGCTGATCGTCACCTAAAACCTCAACCCTGTTAGAGGCCCAACGGTAACTTTATCAGTTTGATATTATATGAGAACATGTTGGATTTATCTCCAACATGCTTTTAAATAATAGTTAGGAAGTTACATAAGTGTCTTTAACAGGGTTGACACATAGTGTGTTAAAAGCGCTGATAAAATGCTCTTAGTTCATAGGATGTTTATGCTTGAGATGGGAAAAGTGTTTTTCCATAGGCTAAACATATCCTCTATGCAATTGAACATTGAAAGAAGAGATATTTTAAAGTTCATTTCTTAAAAGTTTGCATGTCCAAAAGGCACCCATTTCGTGGAATGACCAACATGTGTTTGTTTGCTGTTCAGCCCCTGATGAGATCATTCTCACGGCTCACTGTAGGTTCAGCACACTGTCAAGCTGGTTGATTCATAATGTAGCTATATCCTGCCCCTAAATTAATGGCCTTGGTGCTGTAGTGTTACATAGCAAGAACCCACAGGTCTTTGTCAATCTTCCCTCAGAGGTGAAATTGACACAGGTTTACATGCACACTATTACAATACTTTCTTGTGTTAGGACAGTGTGTGAATGTTTGCTACCAAGTGGATAAAGTTAAACATTAAATCACAAAAAAACAAGGTGTAGTTTATATTAACACATTTACCAGTGAACAGGACATGTTAAATGGAGTCACGAAGGTCATGAGGTTGAAGGTGCTCCATCAAACCTGGACACTTTATTTAGAGTGTTGCGAGTGGCGCAGTGGTCTAAGGCACTGCATCGCAGTGCTAGCTGTGCCACTAGAGATCCTGGTTCGAATCCAGGCTCTGCTGTAGCCGGCCGCAACCGGGAGACCAATGGGGCGGCGCACAATTGGCCCAGCGTCGTCCAGGGTAGGGGAGGGAATGGCCGGCAGGGAGGTAGCTCAGTTGGTAGAGCATGGCGTTTGCAACGCCAGGGTTGTGGGTTCGTTTCCCACGGGGGGCCAGTATGAAAAAAAAAAAAAAAATGAATAATGTAAGTCGCTCTGGATAAGAGCGTCTGCTAAATGACGTAAATGTAATGGTAATGTAAATGTTTATTAATTCAGTTTCATGACTGCACGTTGGAAGTCACGGCAGGGCTACATCTGTGTTGTCTATCACTCTGTAATACAACACCTTTATGAGTTCATGTGGAACACCATGTGGAATATTTGCAAGATGAAGGAGCTACAAGACAAAACTGCATCACTGATCCAATATCAACACTTTTTCATATAATTTAGTTATGAAGTAGTCCAAGTAAGCACTTGTGAGATAATTACATAACAAAGTACAAAACTAGTAACAAACATATGCCACAACATGAATAATACGTCATGTAAACATATACATACAAACAGACATACATTATCAATAAAGAGGACTCTTCTTTCCATCAACAGTAGCAGCACATTTCAAGACAGCCTGCCTCCAGTGTGGTGAATTACTTATGCTGCCAGTCGTGGCATATGGCCCACATACTCATGGCATGTAATTATGTTATAAAGCATGGCTCCTATTTCTCACTGCACAGCCACTTATCAGAGAAACAGGTGAAGATCAGCGTGATAGCACACGGGCACGGCATAGCCTGGATCTATTGACAGTTAATTTACTCTGCAGGAGGTTGCATATACTGTCTAATACAGATAGAAATTGTAGAAAACATCAAACTGAATGTGATGTAACACTTGATGAAGCGGCCTAATAACTTAGCCATCTAAAGTGTATTAGGAGGATGAGAAGGGTAGCAGGTTTCCTGTAACCTGAAGGACCTTTTGCTCCTGCCCAGATATCTCCTAGGGCAGGTTGCTTTGCTCTTTGGTGTTCATTTTCAAGCCCCCGGCAAGAGTCAAGACCACTGCTGGAGTCCAGCTCTGCTTTGGACAGACACTTGGGAGTGTGTAATGAACTAAAAATAAAGCTCTCAATTTGAGTAATGGCACAGCTCGTGTGTTTATTAAGATAGCCTGAGGTTCAGGGATGGAAATTAATCTAGCCCGCTAGCCTGAAGTGATACTTTTCAGACCGGCCTAATAGAAAATGTGCCCAAGTAGCCCGCCGTCTAGAGAAACTTTGTATTTACAAATATCACATGACACAGATTTTGGACTACTAGCCTGGCTGTCCAGTGCCGAAAATCCTTAAATTCCATCCCTGTGGAGGCTGCTCGAAGAGTTAAGGACAGATTCTATCAAACCTGTTCAGCGCTTTTATTATTCAGATAGAATGCTTGAGACAACAAAATCTGCTCTAGCTTATTTTTTACAACTAGAATCAACCTGGTTATTTACTATTAGGTGGTAACTAACTAGTAGCTTGTAACAATGGATACCAACTGGAACTTAATTAGTTAATAATTTGTACCAAATGGTACACATCGTTGCATGCTTCAATGGAATTCCAAAACAATCAAATGTATATATTAAGTAATTATTAGGTAACCAGAACGCTAAGACCAGTTAAAGATAACACGAGTTAAATACAAACAGTAAAATAAGTAGTTAATACCAGGTAAATACAAACAGTAAAATAAGGTATAAACTCTCATGTGATATTCACTCGTTATCAGTGGATGTCGAGTCAGGCAGGTTTGGTGGCATTGAGTTCTCAAGCATCCCCAATGTTAGTAAATACCACTTTAGCCTACTTGTATATCACATAATGAGGGAGATTTCTCATGATGCATGTTTGTAGCTTATTGTACACTACAATATCTGTTTTCACAATGAATTAATTATACCCATCTGGTCCTCATAGGGTACTATATATGTGAAGACACATACTGTGTGTTGCTATGTCGCTAATATGTTGCTGTGACGCTAATAAGTTGCTACGTCGCTAATATGTTGTTGATGCATTTAAAACATCCAACAGATGGGTGGGGTTATGGCACCATGCAAATCATGTGAACACATAATGTTCACGGTTTCAAATGCAAAGCTGAGTCATCTGCACCACCTGCTAAATCAAAGTACAGGCAAGTGCTGGTAAGATGCTAATCCAAAGTACAGGCAAGTGCTGGTAAAATGCTAATCCAAAGTACAGGCAAGTGCTGGTAAAATGCTAATCCAAAGTACAGGCAAGTGCTGGTAAAATGCTAATCCAAAGTACAGGCAAGTGCTGGTAAAATGCTAATCCAAAGTACAGGCAAGTGCTGGTAAGATGCTAATCCAAAGTACAGGCAAGTGCTGGTAAAATGCTAATCCAAAGTACAGATATAATAGTAGAATATAAGGTAAAACAATGCATGCAACCATACAGTCCTAGTTTAGAAACAAAATGTAGTTATTACATGATTTCAAGGTAATTCAGCTTTAATGCTGTATACCTAAGTTCTTATCGTAAATAACTTATCTTCTCATACGTTAACTCAAGTTATCCTTAAGTATCACTTCAATGATACGGAAATACGAAACCTAAATATTAATAATTAGATAAGACCTGAAGCGGTAGAACTCACCTTACTGTTTTCTTCCTTAACTGTATTTTCTAAGAATCTATGGCGAGATGTAAAAATATGAGTTAACTTACCCTTCATAACTCCCCCCTCTTCAACCCCTAACCAATTAGCATTTTAAGGCTTGATGAGCAGAACAGCCATTAGGTCAAATTTTACTACTACAACAAAAAAAGGAAGGATAGAGAGTTATGTTACCTATCACGTGTAGACCAATGATACTGATACGTCTCCAAAAGTGCTGTCAGTCTGTGTCTGAGGACACCTGATGTACATTATAAATCAAAATCCTAATTTATCTTGGACATGTGACAAGCCAAACAACATATGCTGGTTGCTTAGTGGTTAAGAGCGTTGTGCCAGTAACCGAAAGGTCGCTGGTTCTAATCCCTGAGCCAACTAGGTGAAAAATCTGTCGGTGTGCCCTTGAGCAAGGCACTTAACCCTAATTGCTCCTGTAAGTCGCTCTGGATAAGAGCGTCTGCTAAATGACAAAAAAGTAAAATACAAATAAGACCAGGCAGGCAAGGATAGTATTGCTTTAAGAAAAATTGTGTGATTCAGGTATTGTGTGACCACAATTCAATATTAAATCGTCAACATAAAACTGTTAGAAGGAATTCTCTAAATGTAGGATCAACTCTTAATCCTGTAGAATCATATTGACAAGTCATCTGTAATCAGCAGAGATCTTCGTTAGCTATGTTCCCCATTTTCCATCTACAAAGACCTTGATGTGTATAGTGCCCTCAGTCCCTCTGTGGCTACCCCACCGCCTCTGAATATCCTCCCATGGTTTGGTTTTAGTAGAGATCTCAACAAGTGCAGGGCTCAATCAAAACATGTCAGCATCACATTCCTAGGATAGATAGACATCCATCCAGTGGTTGGACACAAGGCCAATAGACAGACATGTTGCATGCTGCCTCTTACTGATTGGGTAGAATAACGACACCATTTAATCAAGATTCATCCTCCTGTTTCTAGCAGCTGCTTCTTTCTGTATCATTTGGGAGGAGTTGGAACGTACAACTACCCTGATGAAGCAATTTTAGGGTTTCTTAGATACGCAACCCTTTAATGAGATTAGACATGGTACAAACTAACACTAAACCCAAGTTCCAAGTGGCACCTGCTGGTAATTAGCGCAAAGAGGAGAGAATGTCACTCATGTAAATGATCTCTTCTGAAACCCCTTTTTTTTCCTCCTTGTGTCTTTTTATTTTGTCTCGTACCTAGTGGGCATCTCAACGACTGTAAATCAGTGGTAGTGACGTTCCATTCAACTTAACAGTTTTAACTTACATTCCTTTTCTCTGTGTGAGTGTCTGTTACAGAGCCTTCTGAGTTAAGAGAGCTCCAAAAGATACCAAGATGAAGTTAATGAAGGCGAAAGTGACAGATCAATCTGCCGAAGGGCAGAAGGGTAAGTGCAATATGATGGATTTCTCCTCAGATCATTAGAATCAAGACAGACAACCACCCAATGCAGTCACACACATGCAAGGGGGAAATAACAAAAATGGCAGGAATCATAGCCCATTATTGATTGCCAAGATACAGTTGCAGGCACTAAAATGTTAGGTTGTGCTGTATTGGCAGAACAATTGTTGCAATGTGTGTGCAACATGGTCCTCCAGCGTCTTCTACAGATAGTTTGCCAGTAAATCGATGTATGTAAAGTGTTTCAATTAGACCTTCCAATAAACAACAGAGTGAAGAGAAGATATAAGAAGATATATATTTTCAGATGACATTTAGGTAAATGCCAAGCTTCGTCAAGAACATCACCTAACAATGTCTTCTGCTCTTGTGCTATCGAGAGGATGTTGAAGAGATCCTTCACTCCAAATATTTGTGCACAATCATCTGAGCTTCTAGAATCATGCAGGAGCACTCTGATTAAATATGAACAACACCTACTACAGTGTCAATTATACTTGGAATGAAGATATTGCAGAAAAGGAGCATTCTCCAGACCAGCACACAAAGAAATACAAGCTGCTTCAGTCAATTTACAAGGTGAGGTAGCAGTCAAATCACCATGTCAACACTTCTAGTGAACCAATCATGTCAAACACTTCTCTGTCAACGCCATCATAAGGCAATGTCACCAGCCAGTCAGTGGGTGATATTGGAAAGGGAATGGGCATGAAGATATTGCTATGATTCAGCAGAAGAAAGAAAACTAAGAAGTTTACCGCGATTATGAAGAGTGAAGAATGAAAGGTGCTGTGAATTGTTTTATTTACGTGTAGTTTACAAAAAAATCATCACAAACCTGTAAGACAACACACTTATGCTGGAAAAACTCAACTGAAGAACTGATTTGACATCAAGAGAAATCGGTCAAACCTGTGCTGACTACTGGACAACATATCTACTCAGTCATCAAATCTAAACAGAAGATTACGTTTGAGATCATATTTGACCAGTAAACTGAAGCGTTTTAAGAGTTTTCACTGTGGGGAAGATTGAAATGGGAAGACTGGACTCAAAAGATGGATGTCTGACAAGAAACTGTTTGGTAGCAGATATAATCTGATATCTCATCTTCCTCAGCTGTTTTCCAAATCAATTTACAGCCAACTATTAATATGCACTGTAACTGGCACAGAAAAGGATTCCCAACAGCCCAACCCTATGGACAACCACAACACATTCAATGGGACCTTATTGGATGCCAATGAGGACTGGCATATCTGAAATCTGATACACCAAAGTTGGTCAGCAGATTTAGTATAATTTAACACCATTAGTTCTTAGTTAGTATTAATAGGCCGTCGTCATAGAGAAAACATAACCTTGTATGCTAAAAACAGGATATTTTTAAAGAATAAAAAAATATATAACTAAGACTAAGACAAGCAGCATGAGGACTTAGGAAACAATATAATTGCTGTTAACGCCATGATTTGATATACTCAGAAATGTGTAATGGTTACTCATTTATATATACAATTAATCTTCCATACTCTTTCTTTCAAACATTTGTTCCAACAAATAATCTTCTGAAACCTTAGGAGGTTTGTTCTCTCCAAGTTGTGTTTGTTGGATATTTCCCCTGTCCTTGTGTTTAATGTTAATTGTATGTATCTATGTACTGTATGTGTGGATTCATAATCCTGTCAAAGTTCCCAAGCCTCTCTCTGGTGCTTTTGTCAGGATTAATGTTTCCTGTCCTATTTCCTTTCTCTTGCTGTCATGTTGCTTGTAAAGTGGAAGGCGCTGAGGGTGCTGCGGAAAAGCCCCACCACAAAAAAGGTATGCAAGAGAAAAAGGAAACTTCAACAACTTGAGTTACCATTAATGTGTCTTTCTCTTTGTACAATCTTAGAAAAAGGTTTCCACTGTGGAAAGGGTTCTACATTGAACCCAAAAGGGTTCTACATTGAACCCAAAAGGGCCCTACATGGAAACAAAAAGCTTCTTCTAATGGTTCTCCTATGGGGAAAGCTGAAGGACGCTTTAAGGTTTTAGATAGCACCTTTTTTTCTAAGAGAGTATACCTTATATCTTTTTTTCTGGGTGTTTTACTGTACCAAAGCATGGTGGATGAAAGTAATGACTGTGTTGCATGTAGGCTACTCTATACATCATCATATGAAAGGTGTCATTCGTATACATGTGTGACTCAAACGTTCAGCGTCACAACAGATGCACTTAGTTTTCTAAACAAATCCATTAATACTGACAAACTGTCCCTGAAGGGCATTGTGGTTGATTGCTATGAGGTCCTTATATTGTCTTGCAACCTAACTGTAGCTTGAGCAAGAGAATACAAGTCGAGTATGTGGGAGAACAGATTGGGCCCTTCATGACCTAGGTTTTATGTTATGGGCATCCAGAAAATGTTCTTACAGACAATTAACATCTGCATCAAACTATTATTTGCTCATGATTACTCATCAGTGTTGTGGAATTATATTTATGTTCAGTTACAGTAGTCAAGTAAAACATAGAAATATGGATGGAAATAGTATGGATGACCAAACGTAATTTTAAAAAGTTGGGGTCAGATTGATTAAGAGTCTACAGCAGTGCTAAGTTTGCAGCTGTTATAATAAAGAAGAGATAACACATTAAAGCTGAAATCCATAAAAGGGGAAACAGCGCCAATGTTCGCCCCAGCACCTTTGTTATTGTTTTGTTGATGAAACGGACGGGAGGAGCGTCCAGCATTGTGCCATTGTCTGAAGTAACTTATTTGTTGTTGCAATATCTCAAACAGGACATGGTAGTTTCACCAACTACAGATTTAAGCTTTAAAGGAAGAACTTACATTACCATCAATATTTACAGAACAATAAGGCATTGATCTAAAGTGAAAATAATGATAATATCATGTTTTTTGCTTAGTTGGCTTCCTTTTGGTATGAAAATAACACATGCAAACTTTGCATGTAGGTGCATTCTCTTGGTAGATGTGGCATGTGATTTAGGGCAGTATTCCGACCTGATACTACTACTTGGTTCCATGTTTTGGTGTATCAGCCATTACTTTAAAAAGACTGTCTTGGGATTATTAGTTGTACTACAACTGCTTCTACAGTAATATTGAGTCCGAATATGGCCCTCAATCACTTGCATAGTAAAAAGTCAAATATTACATGATATTGATGCATGTAATAATACAGTGATTATAATTGCATTAGATATAATGTATGTTACATTTGGTCATCCATTAAAATGTAAATCTCAAGTGTTTTAAGCAGTAAGTGCTAACAATGTTATCATAATTTTGCCATTTTCTAATGATGTATTTTTTGTATGTGATCAGGCAAGAAATTCAGATCGAAAGTCCCTGGAGTTATGATCACGCAGTATGTGGATGAAATACCAGAGGGAAAAAGCCACCCTGACTTCACCCGCAAGCCCATCGCATTGACTATCCAGGAGGGTAAGGAACAGCTAATCATGTAATATTCTGCATTAACAAACATTCCTATTATACTAGAATGAATGTTGTGTGTTCTGCTATTGCCTTTAAAAAATAAATAAATAAAAAATAGTCAGATATATTATTCCAAGCTGCAGCACATAGGAATTGGGTCAACCAAAATGGGAACAGTGACCAACTGCAGCAGGGGTACTGATGGGATTAACACATGTGGTCCACCGTAGCTCAGTTGGTAGAGCATGGCACTTGCATTGCCAGGAGAGTGGGTTTGATTCCCAGGACCACCCATAAGTCAAACATATATAAAATGCACATATGACTGTAAGGCGCTTTGGATAAAAAGTGTCTTCTAAATGGCATATAGAAATTGGGTCAACCAAAACAGACCTTACAGTGAAATACTTACTTAAAACTGCATTGTTGGTTAAGGGATTGTAAGTAAGCATTTCACTGTAAGGTCTACACCTGTTGTATTCAGCGCATTTGACAAATAAAATTAGATTGTATATATTATATTATGTCCTGACTAAGACAAGAAGCATAAGGACATGTACGGACAGGGACAGGCCAGATTGCCTTATTTTACATCAAGTTGAGTGATTTATATCATTTGGAGCATGTTCCACAGGCTTCAGAGCATGACATGTGACAGTGGTCATAAGGCATGTGATGTATGGTGGAGCCCACAAAATGCTATCCTTACAGATGGCTCGTATCAACTTCATTTGACACAGAAATGAAATGTAGACTCTACGTTATTTATGATTATGATGACCTTCTACGCCCTACCCACTCACATACCAAATCCTTATTTAACCTGAGGAAGAAAAAAAAAAACGTACACACTTAGATTGGTGACACACCCTTTACTAGAGGCAGTCTGTTAAGCTCCTTATTAAAACATATGCCATAATCAACGCCTAGCTCTTTCATCACTGGGGGAAGTTGAATAACAAATGTTACACATCATATTTGGTTAAAATGCAATGTATTCAGTAACATATCAAACAAATACAGTCCTACCTATCGCACTAATCGTTGCTTATGTAAAATTGTATCACCAAAAGGATGGACTAATTAGACACACAAATATGGACATATACTGAACATCAGAAGAAAAAAACAATGGTACAAAATGCTACTATTTATGTGTTCTATGACTCTAAACCCAAATCAGGCAAGTTCGGGGTGTTCAAAGCCATTGTGATTGGTGAACCTACACCCAAAGTGACATGGAACCGAGCAAATGGAAACATAGACGACCCGGAGAAGTTCCAGAGCAAGTATGACGAGGCGACTGGTGAACACACCCTAGAGGTAAGGATATTTATCACCATTCAGCACCAACTGGTGAACACACCCTAGAGGTAAGGATATTTATCACCATTCAGCACCAACTGGTGAACACACCCTAGAGGTAAGGATATTTATCACCATTCAGCACCAACTGGTGAACACACCCTAGAGGTAAGGATATTTATCACCACTCAGCACCAACTGGTGCTTATACTCAACAATAAAGGGGACATATTGTCAACTTCAGTTCCATCAAAGGCTGCTCAATCTCTTGACATCTACACGTCCCCTCCTTTTTACTCCAACCTTTATATTTCAACCCTTTAACATTAGGAAAAAATGTATTATAATAATGATTGGTTAAATTCCTGAAATAAAAAAATATATGTAAACAAAAAATTAACAATTACCCTTGAAGTATATTCCAATTGATTTGGTTTATTGATCTTAATAGCAGTTGATGGGAAGTACACAGTAAATACATGATCAATGTGCTTACAGATCCCCAAAGTATGTACAGAAGATGCTGACACCTACAAATGCTTTGCAACAAATGAGTTTGGAAAGGCTGTTTGCACTATCCAGCTGAATGTCATTGAAGGTATGACACATAAAAAATAGACTTCTAACACATCTAATCCAAATCTCTCTTAAGCAATATTTATCTTGTCAAACGAGCAAGTGCATTCTAATGATTTAAAAAGAATGATCAACACTTCAAGACATAAACATTAGGAAACTTTTCTTTCCAGTTGGATTCAAAAAGACGAAGGAAATAGCCAAGTCAAAAGAAGAACTAGAAGCATCCAAACCTGCGTCTTTTAGAACAATGTTGAAGAAGCGGTAAGATAATGTATTACATACTACTCTATATACAGGTTGCGTAAATAGTCTTGAATTGGTATTTTTTGTGGCTAAAATTCAGGTTTCCTATCTCTTAAACCTTTCATACAGACAACCTAAACCTCTAAAAATAAGGTAACAATCAGTTAAAGCTCTCTGTTTGAAAGGGGTTCGGGTCTGGAAAACAGGCCCTAATTGACCAAGGGAAACACTGCTGAAAAGACTTCTATAATAGGGGACAATGAATTAATAAAGCAGACTAAATACAAGCAGCAGCTCTGCAATAGCAATTCAAATGAATGCATGCATGGTAAATGATCATCCTGTGTGATCTACAGTGGAGAAATCCGTGAGCAAAAGCCACTCGAATCTGAAGAGAAAGTTTGGGAGATCCTGATGAGTGCCAACAAGAAAGATTATGAACGCATCTGCGCTGAGTATGGCATCACTAATTTCCGTGGGATGCTGACAAAACTGGCTGAAATGAAAAGGGAGAGAGAGGAGGAGCAAGCACAGGTATAGTACTACGGAATATATTATTGCTGGTGTTATTTTTAAGAAAATATCAATAAAATAAAAAGGTAAAATGTGTCCGTTACCTGTTTGATTTTTAAAAGATCTTATGGTTCCTCAGTCATTTTACTATACCTTTATATTTGTCTGTTTCAGTTTATTAAACAAATCAGTTCGCTCAAACACATCGAAGTCAATGCTGATGAAAATGCAACATTTGAAATTGACATGGATCTTAAGGATCCCAGCAGCAGGATTTTCCTCTACAAGGTATGAAAGCTCATACAAAACTGTTCAATAGCTCTCCTGTTTATTTCAGTTTCTCCTCCAGGTGCCAACTATCAGGTGATTGGCCACAAAGGTGCATTGTTAAAACAAGTGTTATCTTTAACACTTTGTTCTTAGTTGAAGCATGATTCCACACTACGAATGTTGCTTGTTTAAAGGAATAGTTTGGGATGTTTACATTCAGAAAGTATTCAGACCCCTTGACATTTTCCACATTTTGTTACGTTACAGCCTTATTCTAAAATGGATTCAATAGTTTATTCCCCCCTCATCAATCTACACACAATACCCCATAATGACAAAGCAAAAACAGGTTTTTAGAAATTATTGCACATTTATTAAAAATAAAAAACTGAAATATCACATTTACATAAGTATTCAGACCCTTTACTCAGTACTTTCTTGAAGCTCCTTTGGCAGCGATTACAGCCTCGAGTCTTCTTGGGTATGACACTTCAAGCTTGGTACACCTGTATTTGGGGAGTTTCTCCCATTCTTCTCTGCAGATCCTCTCAAGCTCTGTCAGGTTGGATGGGGAGCGTAGCTGCACAGCTATTTTCAGGTCTCTCCAGAGATCGGGCTCAAGTCCGGCCTCTGGCTGGGTCACTCAAGGACATTCAGAGACTTGTCCCGAAGCCACTCCTGCATTGTCTTGGCTGTTTGCCTAGGGCCGTTGTCCTGTTGGAAGGTGAACCTTTCACCCCAGTAAGGGGTCCTGAGCTCTCTGGAGCAGCTCTGTTCATCTTTCACTCGATCCTGACTAGTCTCCCAGTCCCTGCCACTGAAAAACATCCCCACAGCAAGATGCTGCCACCACCATGTTTCACCGTAGGGATGATGCCAGGTTTCCTCCAGACGTGACGCTTGGCATTCAGGCCAAAGAGTTCAATCTTGGTTTGAGAGTCCTTTAGGTGCCTTTTGGCAAATGTGTCTTTTACTGAGGAGTGGCTTCCGTCTGGCCACTCTACCATAAAGACCTGATCGGTGGAGTGCTGCAGAGATGGTTGTCCTTTTGGAAGGTTCTCCCATCTCCACAGAGGAACTCTGGAGCTCTGTCAGAGTGACCATCGGGTTCTTGGTCACCTCCCTGACCAAGGCCCTTCTCCCCCAATTGCTCAGTATGGACGGGCAGCCAGCTCAAGGAAGAGTCTTCTTGGTGGTTCCAAACTTCTTCCAATTCAAGAATGATGGAGGCCATCGTGTTCTTGGGGACCTTCAATGCTGCAGAAATTTTTTGGTACCCTTCATCAGATCTGTGCCTCGACACAATCCTGTCTCAGAGCTCTACGGACAATTCCTTTGACCTCATGGCTTGGTTTTTGCTCTGACATGCACTGTCAAATGTGGGACCTTATATAGACAGGTGTGTGCCCTTCCAAATCATGTCCAATCAATTGAATTTACCACAAGTGGACTCCAATCAAGTTGTTAGAAACATCTCAAGGATGATCAGTGGAAACAGGATGCACCGAGACTCAATTTTGAGTCTCATAGCAAAGGGTCTGATTTTTATTTATTTAATTTATACATTTGCAAAAATGTCTAAAAACCAGTTTTTGCTTTGGCATTATGGGGTATTGTGTGTAGATTGATGAGAAGAAAAAAATCAATTTAATCCATTTTAGAATATGGCTGCAACGTAACAAAATGTGGAAAAAGTCAAGGGGTCTGAATACTTTCCGAATGCACTATATCAACATCCCCAAAGTCAGATGAACTTGTGGATACTATTTTTATGTGTCTCTGTGCAGTTTAAAGGAAGTTGCCAACAAAAGTCTGCGCAAATGCTAAGTAGAGTTAGCGCAATGACAGGAAGTCTATGGGAACAGCTGTAGACTTCCAGTCATTGTGCTAACGCTAGTTAGCATTGGCTCACAAAACTACCTCCAACTTCCTTCATACTGGACGCAGAGACATAAAACCGGTATCTACGAGTTCATCTGACTCTCGGGAAGTAGATCAAAATGATTTAAATGTTTACAAAAACAATACTCTGCAGGATGGTGTTATGGTTCCTTACACTGTTGAGATGGAAGAAGAAATGAAGCACCAACTGAAACGAGTTGGCAAAAAGTTTGTTTTCACGATCAAAAATCTAGACCCGGCAGATGCTGGTCTCTACTCAGTGGATGTAGAGGGAGTTAATGTCTTCTCCACTGATTTCAAAAGTGAGTACAAATATAAAAATGGCAGTCTAAATAGAGACTAGAAAAAATGCTATAATAATACGATTATTACAAAATAGTTGATGATACTATGTGGAATTATAGTAAAACAAGAGCCAATACATCATAATATAAATTTTTGGGGAATTACAGCATTCAAGGACTATAACTGCAGTATTTGTAAAAAGTGTGTGTTTGAGAACCATGACAATTTTATCGTGTGAACTGGATGGGCTTGTTATGCATTATCCCCTATTATTCTCTATCCATCCACCAGTTCCACCTGTGAATTTCGCCGTCAAAATTCAGGAGGTGAAGGCAGAAGAACGAGAAGATGCCCTCTTCCAGTGTGTCTTAACGGCACCTATGGCTGAGATTAACTGGATGGGCAAGAGTGCCCCGATAGAAAATAATGACAAATTTGAAATCACAGTGTCTGAAGACAAGCTCATCCACAAGTTGTTAGTGAAGGATTGTCAGCCTTTGGACGCTGGTATCTACGCAGCTGTGGCAGGTATCCATTCCTGTAATGCCTGGCTTGTGGTGGAAGGTGAGGTTATTCCATTTTCTCATGGAATGTTTTTGAACAATATTTCAGCATATCAATTGTATTCATAAACCATATAAATGAACGGTGAATCACACACACACCCATCACTGGCTACCATTGTCTTACCACTATATTAAATAGCTCTCAAATTCTCTGATTTAGTTGACAAGAACCCTGCGAATAAAGGCAAGAAGATAGCTCGCAAAACAACCCAGGCTGGAGGAAGTGATTTGGATCTGGAGGAAAATAGCAAAGGAGCAGGCGGAAAAACACAAGAAAGACATGGAAGAGAGGATGGCGGAAGCAAAGATAAAGGCTGCTGAGAGAGGTGTCACTGACGAAGCCGCCCGGGTCGCGAAAGAGGCCGATGATGCAGCCGCCAAAGCCGCCAGAGAGGCTGCTAGGGCTGCGGAAGCTAAGGCTAAGGCTAAGGCAGAGAAAAAAGCTGCTAAATTGAAAGCTGCTAAGGAGAAGGCAAAGGCAAACAGGAAAGCCTCAGGGAAAGCCTCAGGTGATGGGGCTGCAGGTGATGGAGCTGCAGGTGGTGGGGCTGCAGCTGGTGGGGCTGCAGCTGGTGGGGCTGCAGCTGGTGGCGCTGCAGGTGGTGGGGCTGAGGGAGACGCTGCAGATGGATCGGCAGATGAAGACATAGTAGTAAGCACAGATGAGTCTGATGAGGAAGATGAGGCCACAAAAACAAAGCGTGTGAGAAGCAATCAACTTGTTCCAGACACGGTCATAGGTAAGAAACTATTTCTTCCATTGATAAGATTTAGAAATAGTTTAAATGGAAGACTTCGGGGCCGGTATCCCGGACACAGATTAAGACTAAAAAGCACTTTCAATGGAGATTCTCCATTGAGCATGCTTTTTAGTTCTGGGAAACTGGCCCATAGAGTATATCCACTATACTAAGTATAGTTCACCTAAATGTCATATTTCTATGACTAGGATGACTGTCTGAAGGTCATTAACACCTGATTGTAATTGAAGTCACACTAGAGGATGAATTTTGGTAAGGTATCTTTTAAAAACACTACTTAAAGGAATACTTTGGGATGTTGGCTATTATGCCCTTCATCTACTTTACCAGAGTCAGATGAATTGTGGATACCATTTCATGTCTCTGTGCCCAGTATGAAGGAAGTTAGAGGTAGTTTTGCGAGCCTGTGCTAACTAGCGTTAGCACAATGACTTCCAGTCATTATGCTAATGCTAGTTATCAATTGCGCTAGCACTAGTTAGCAACTTCCTTCAAACTGCATGCAGAGACATAAAAATGGTATCTAAGAGTTCATCTAACTCTGGGGAAGTAGATATTGCCAAAATCCCAAAGTATCCCTTTAAGAAGTACTTACATTAACATACACAAATAAGTACAGGACACACACCCCTGACAAGTCAACTAACGTACAAATCAACTGAGATACTTGTTTTTGTGTGTGTCCATTATATCATTATGTTTTTTCGTTATCGCTTTGGCACCCCAGCTTTATTTTCAGATTTTCGTCCCATACTGTTATTGTTAATAATGTACATTGTTCATTGTTACTTTCGTAATCATGCTATTGCTATTTTTGTTACCATAATTGTGGTTGCAATTGTATTTGTTATTATACTGCTTATAAAACATTATAAAACCTTATCAGCCAAGACAATAGCATCCAATTACAGTAAGAAACTACATCCATGTATGTAACAACTGACATATATTATTGTCAAAGGAGATGCTAAATCTAATTAGGTGATTAGCTTGCACATTTTGGCATATTGTAGTTGAAATTATTATTAATCAACATCAGTACATGGAAAATGGTCTGATTGTATCATATTAATGTATTAGCCAACCAACTTCATTAAAAATGATTTTGCCTTTAAAGCAAATACAAAAATTCACAAGGTCAATACATACAATTGAAATTGTTTGACTTCATCTTGAAATTGATGATCACCAATAGATGATGATGAGGAAGCTTCAAGTGAGCAACCGGGGAAACGTGGTAAACGCACAAGGCAAGGCCCACTGCTCAAGGAAGAGATTGTTGGTAAGATTTTGTGAAGGTTGCATTTGATGAACATGCATGGAAACAGGTTGGTTCAATATCAGTCATTTGTCGGAAATGACTTTGGCACGCCGGCCTGATAAATAAAGGACATCTTTGTTTACGCAAAAAAAGCTTAATACTTACACTGAAATTCAGGATTAATATTAACCATCAAATGTATAATGTGTTTGTTATTGAAGTTGATATACAGTACATACAGTGAGGAAAAAAAGTATTTGATCCCCTGCTGATTTTGTACGTTTGCCCACTGACAAAGACATGATCAGTCTATAATTTTAATGGTAGGTTTATTTGAACAGTGAGAGACAGAATAACAACGAAAAAATCCAGAAAAACGCATGTCAAAAATGTTATAAATTGATTTGCATTTTAATGAGCGAAATAAGTATTTGACCCCTCTGCAAAACATGACTTAGTACTTGGTGGCAAAACCCTCTGACAGAGGTCAGACGTTTCTTGTAGTTGGCTACCAGGGTTGCACACATCTCAGGAGGGATTTTGTCCCACTCCTCTTTGCAGATCTTCTCCAAGTCATTAAGGTTTCGAGGCTGACGTTTGCCAACTCGAACCTTCAGCTCCCTCCACAGATTTTCTATGGGATTAAGGTCTGGAGACTGGCTAGGCCACTCCAGGACCTTAATGTGCTTCTTCTTGAGCCACTCCTTTGTTGCCTTGGCCGTGTGTTTTGGGTCATTGTCATGCTGGAATACCCATCCATGACCCATTTTCAATGCCCTGGCTGAGGGAAGGAGGTTCTCACCCAAGATTTGACGGTACATGGCCCCGTCCATCGTCCCTTTGATGCGGTGAAGTCCCCTTAGCAGAAAAATACCACCTCCATGTTTGACGATGGGGATGGTGTTCTTGGGGTCATAGGCAGCATTCCTCCTCCTCCAAACACGGCGAGTTGAGTTGATGCCAAAGAGCTCGATTTGACCATAACACTTTCACCCAGTTCTCCTCTGAATCATTCAGATGTTCATTGCCAAACTTCAGACGGGCCTGTATATGTGCTTTCTTGAGCAGGGGGACCTTGCGGGCGCTGCAGGATTTCAGTCCTTCACAGCGTAGTGTGTTACCAATTGTTTTCTTGGTGACTATGGTCCCAGCTGCCTTGAGATCATTGACAAGATCCTCCCGTGTAGTTCTGGGCTGAATCCGAGGGAGATTGATAGTTCTTTTGTGTTTCTTCAATTTGCGAATAATCGCATCAAACTGTTGTCACCTTCTCACCAAGCTGCTTGGCGATGGTCTTGTAGCCCATTCCAGCCTTGTGTAGGTCTACAATCTTGTCCCTGACATCCTTGGAGTGCTCTTTGGTCTTGGCCATGGTGGAGAGTTTGGAATCTGATTGATTGATTGATTGCTTCTGTGGACAGGTGTCTTTTATACAGGTAACAAACTGAGATTAGGAGCACTCCCTTTAAGAGTGTGCTCCTAATCTCAGCTCGTTACCTGTATAAAAGACACCTGGGAGCCAGAAATCTTTCTGATTGAGAGGGGGTCAAATACTTATTTCCCTCATTAAAATGCAAATTAATTTATAACATTTTTAACATGCGTTTTTCTGGATTTTTTTGTTGTTATTCTGTCTCTCACTGTTCAAATAAACCTACCATTAAAATTATAGACTGATCATGTCTTTGTCAGTGGGCAAACGTACAAAATCAGCAGGGGATCAAATACTTTTTTCCCTCACTGTACATTATATATAAAATGTCATTCAAAATAGGTCCCATATGATTTCATATGTAGTCAGAAATAATTGACCAAAACTGTGGCACTGTAGTTAAACATAACATCTGCCACATTATGATGTACTAATAGTCATAATTTGAAATACATAAATTCATAGGCCTATTTGTTTGGACAGTTCTACACAATATAGCGATAAACTTGATGAAGCAGTTTGTAAAATTCATACACATTGCAGGTCACCACCATGTCTAAATAATGTCCAAACAAACAATTAGTGTCCCTAGCAGAAGCACCCTTCACTTCGTGTCTGAACCGCAGATAAATACTTAATGAGGAAAGATTGAATTCCAAACCAAGTTGAGCTCAAGCAGTACCTTTCTCTGAAAGTCCTTAGCTTGGTGGTGTTATATTTTTTTCTTTTGAGTATTAACATCCTTCTAAATTTAACAAATAATAACATGCACAGTTTAACATACCTCTTATTAATCTTTATATAAAATGCAAAATGTACATAGCATGTACATAATACTGTTCACTCTTTGAAAGACAAATATGACATAATATTTGTGTTTTATATGCCACGTGTGTGTGCTTCCATGTTTCATCTGTATGTTATTTGTGCCTTGTGTTGACCCATTTGTGAATGTTTGCTTTTGAAAAAGGGGCTCTCTTGTCATTACAGAGATTGGTGAAGGAATTTGCCAGGTTACTTATTCAAGTACAACAAAAACAAGTTTTACGTAAAAGGATATTGTCTTCATATTTCATCAATGTTTTTTCTTTTGAGGAAAATGTTAATTACATCCAGCTACTAACCAGAGTAGTTATGGATACAAAAGGCTTGTCAGTTTCTGGAACTCCTTCATATCACATCACAATGTATTGGGTAAGTAATTGGAACCAAATTCTTCACCACCCCTTCCTTGTTAAAGTTATTGTTGTTGTGCAATTGTTATTGTTATTATTGTTGCTTTTGTTATCGTGGATGTTGTTGTTGTTATTACTGTTACCATTGCTGTTCTCTACAACGCCTTACCCAACGATAATCGACAAATAATCAGAGTGATTGACAGTGACTATGATAATCATCAATAGGAAAGACAAATAGTAAAGGCACAGCCACAGATGCAAAAGGCAAAAAAAGAAAGTCAAAGAGCGGAGGTGGTGCTGGTGGCGCCGGGCTAGCAAGCAGCGGTGCATCTGCCGACAATGGTGAGGCTGCAAGTGGCGATGAGGCTTCAAGTGGCGATGAGGCCGACGAGCCAGCAGAAGCTGCTAAGTGTGGCAAGCGCACAGGCCGCACAAGGCCAAGCCCAATACTTCAGGAGACGGTCATTGGTAAGATCATGGAAACTGCATTGACTACTGCATGGGAGGCACCGTTGAAGGATCAAAGTCATTTGATAAAACAAATGACTTTTCCTATTTGAGGCTGGGCTTACAGAACACACGTGTGATCATTCAGAATAATGCTGGGTTTTAATCCTTAGTTATTAGTTCCCTGACCCTTTGGGATGATGGTGTTCTTGAATAAGGGTGGCTTTAACAATGGTTAACAATCCATACTTCACATAGACTATCATACAGCACATTTACATGTATTCTAGATGTTTTATAATTGATAGGTTTGGGAGGAACTTTTTAATTTTATTAAACCATGTAGTTTACAAGTCATTTCTAGCAGGGCATATCAATAATGGATGACAAAATTGCATCCATGTCGCCGCCTTAGTGTTTGCAAATTGTGTTTTGTGTGTGCTACAGTGTGTTTAAAAAGCATCGGTGTTCGTAGTTTGTTTGTCTTAACAAACATTCTTGCCTGTGTAACCTAGTACTAAATTAACTGTTGCGAAGTCTCCAAAATGTGGGTTCATTACTAAAATATAACCACGTCAGAAGAACACAGAAGACTCAAACCATATTTCAGGAAGAAGAAAAAACATGAAATGTCAGCAACTCATGAAACCATACGAAGATTGAAGTGTGATACATAAGAATGGATGTGATGGTTTGGAAGGTGATGTGAAAATATAAGAAGAAAATATGTCAATCATTATTTGAATATGTTGGTAACCCGTTGTATTAAAGTGATAATGCCCTCGACTTCATCTCAGGCCTAAAAACACCCGCGCCAATATATCCTCCAAACAACGGCTTCACGGGCATTATCACTTAAATAAGAAGAGCTCAAGCTTTAGAAAGAGAAATAAGGATATATGAAGACTTCTTGCCTGGAAGATAAAACCTCATGTTTTAGAAAGTGACATAAAAAAACTGCACCTCTTACATCTTACACACAACCATTGGCATAGCCAAGAATGAATGGCTACATTTATTCACACAGTACTCTGAAGATATGAATATCTCTTGTCAATGATCACCTTGACCGAAGACCTATGGCAAACCAGAATGAAGGCGAAGAGTGAAGAATAACACCATGAACTCATGCCATACCCAGGCTAACAGAAAGAGAATATAACAGAAAAAAAATAAAAAAATAAACATATCAACAAATTCCTGAAATAACATGGAAAAATGAAATCTTCAATAATTTGCTTAAACAATCAAAATTGAAGAAATGACATTTCGCGATCTTCATCCACACTGGAGTTCAACGCCATCTGTTTTTAGTCCATCACACCTCTTAAATAATTTAGGATTCTGAGAACTCGGAGCTTAGGTAAGTCAGTACACTAAGATGACATTATATTGTATGCCATGCATACATAAATGCATGAACTGTATAACAAAGAAAGATTGCAATTATTTTACTTAATACGAATTCCAACACTCACCCTAACAGGTACATTGGCTTGCGAAAGTATTCACCCCCTTTGGCATTTTTCCTATTTTGTTGCCTTACAACCTGGAATTAAAATAGATTTTTGGGGGGTTTGTATCATTTGATTTACACAACCACTTTGAAGATGCAAAATATTTTGAATATATAAGAAACAAGACAAAAAAAATGAAAACTTGAGCGTGCATAACTATTCACCCCCCCAAAGTCAATAGTTTGCAGAGCCACCTTTTGCAGCAATTACAGCTGCAAGTCTCTTAGAGTATGTCTCTATAAGCTTGGCACATCTAGCCACTGGGATTTTTGCCCATTCTTCAAGGCAAAACTGCTCCAGCTCCTTCAAGTTGGATGGGTTCCGCTGGTGTACAGCAATCTTTAAGTCATACCACAGATTCTCAATTGGATTGAGGTCTGGGCTTTGACTAGGCCATTCCAATACTTTTAAATGTTTTCCCTTAAACCACTCAAGTGTTGTTTTAGCAGTATGCTTAGGGTCATTGTCCTGCTGGAAGGTGAACCTCTGTCCCGGTCTCAAATCTCTGGAATACTGAAACAGGTTTCCCTCAAGAATTTACATGTATTTAGCGCCATCCATCATTCCTTCAATTCTGACCAATTTCCCAGTCCCTGCCGATGAAAAACATCCCCACAGCATGATGCTGCCACCACTATGCTTCACTGTGGGGATGGTGTTCTCGGGGTGATGAGAGGTGTTGGGTTTGCGCCAGACATAGCATTTTCCTTGTTGGCCAAAAAGCTCAATTTTAGTCTCATCTGACCAGAGCACCTTCTTCCATATGTTTGGGCAGTCTCGCACATGCCTTTTGGCGAACACCAAACGTGTTTGCTTATTTATTTCTTTAAGCAATGGCTTTTTTTCTGGCCACTCTTCCGTAAAGCCCAGCTCTGTGGAGTGTACGGCTTAAAGTGGTCCTATGGACAGATACTCCAATCTCTGCTGTGGAGATTTGCAACTCCTTCAGGGTTATCTTTGGTCTCTTTGTTGGTGGGCGGCCCTCTCTTGGCTGGTTTGTTGTGGTGCCAAATTCTTTCAATTTTTTTATAATGGATTTAATGATGCTCCGTTTATAACCCAACCCTGATCTGTACTTCTCCACAACTTTGTCCCTGACCTGTTTGGAGAGCTCCTTGGTCTTCATGGTGCCGCTTGCTTAGTGGTGTTGCAGACTCTGGGGCCTTTCAGAACAGGTGTATATATACTGAGATCATGTGACACTTAGATTGCACACAGGTGGACTTTATTTAACTAATTATGTGACTTCTGAAGGTAATTGGTTGCACCAGATCTTATTTAGGGACTTTGTAGCAAAGTGGGTGAATACATATGCACGCACCACTTTTCTGTTATTTATTTTTTAGAATTTTTTGTAACCCATTTCACTTCACCAATTTGGACTATTTTATGTATGTCCATTATATGAAATCCAAATAAAAATCCATTTAAATTACAGGTTATAATGCCACAAAATAAGAAAAAACGCCAAAGGGGATGAATACTTTTGCAAGGCACTGTAATTACATAAGGGTGAGCTGCAATTGAAGCACTGACACTAACTGTAAATCTGGTAAATCCTCCAGACCCTGGCGTTCACTTCACCCTTGGGCTTTCCGACGTCACCGCCATTGTGGGAGACCAAGCTGAACTTTTCTGTAAGCTGAGCAAAGAAAATGTTGATGGGGTATGGTACCTGGATGGAGAGCAGGTGAGCATCTACATTGCAGTATAATTTAGCCAATCAACACTTCAATACATATTTTTATGATGGCCATAGAAAAACACGAATAAGTTATTATTATTATTATTATTATTATTATAGTTATAGTTTAGTCCTTATTTTGCGTTTAGTGTTGATGTGTTTTGAGCAAAAATTTAGTTGTTTTAATGGCTATTGCAGATGCAGACAAGACTGAAGAGATATATCAATCTAAACATTGTGTTTTCCTGTTCAGATTGAACCCGATGATGTTCTTACCATGTCTAAAGATGGATTCTTCCAATTCCTGAAAATCAGCAAAATCTCAGAGGACTATGCTGGAAAATACAAATTTGAGGCAGATGGGCGTAAAACAGAGGCCATGATTGTTGTTGAAGGTCTAAATCTATTTAACATTTTTATCTTAGATCTAATCTCAGCACCACATTAATTATATTTTATAACATTCTTAAATTCACTCATTATATTATTGTACCTTTCTTTGTAGATCCACCTAGATTCGACCCAGAGGAATTGAAAAAGTTTGCTGTTCCAATCGTTATTAAAAAAGGTCAAAGAGTCAGTTTCAAGATACCATTTGTGGGTCGGGATCCAATGAAGATCCAATGGTACCATGAGGGGGAGGAGCTCTCAGATGACACAAACATCAAGATAGAGCATGCAGAGGGTTATAGTCAACTGACTCTTAACAAGTTACAACGCAAAGACACCGGGGAAATCAAGTTCAAACTCAAAAATGAGTTTGGAACTGTTGAGGCCTTTGCGAAGATCATTGTAACTGGTATGTTTATTCTCTCTGGGTCCAAACAATAATTTATTTTGTATTTGGTGTGAATACCTGGATGTTACAAGTCACTTGGGCTAATTCTATTTATCAAGCTATGTATTTAGAATACAGTGCAATATATTATATAATACAATATAACAAGAAATAAAATAATTACACTATTTAAGTGATTAATGAAAGGGATAGTGCGAGATGAAGCCCTTTATCTACTTCCCCAGAGTTAGAAGAGCTCATGTATACTATTTGTATTTCTCTTCGACCAGTAGGAAGGAAGTTGGCGGTACCATGTTAGCTGTTCCCGTAGACTTCCAGTCATTGCGTTAAAGCTAGTTAGCATTGGCTCTCAAAATCTAACTCTAACTTCATACTGCACGCAGAGACATACAAATGGTATGCATGAGTTCATCTGACTCTGGGTTAGTAGTTAAAGGGCTTAATTACCCAAATATTGCACTGTCTAATTAACTTCAGGAAGACATTGTATGATGCTAAGAGAAATACAACAGAGAGTAAAAGCTGCATCTGTTTCTTGACAGACAAGCCCACCCCTCCCATGGGACCTCTGGAGATTATTGAAGCCTCTCAAAATGCCATCGAGGTCAAGTGGAGGCCCCCGAAGGATGATGGTGGCTGTAAGATACAAAACTACATCCTGGAACGTCAACAGATAGGCCGCAACACCTGGAAGAAGCTGGGTCCAATTGGTCCAGAGGCCCACTACAAGGACACTGATGTGGACCATGGCAGGAGGTACTGTTACAAAATCAGGGCCGACACTGAGATGGGAACCAGTGAGTTGATGGAGACAGAGGATGTCCAGGCTGGCACAAAAGGTGAGTGCATAAATCAGTGAGGTCAATTTAGCGTGATTCAGGATACTATTTGTTATTTTGGAAATCTCAATGTGCATTGTCTAGTATGGAATACCAATACCACATTTTCAAATGCTGAAATGAAGTGATTCATTTTGTGTATATATATATATTAATACAGAACCAGAAGACAGTTGTCGCTAAACCATATTTCTGTACTTAGCATACCCTGGACCCCCTTCTGCACCCAAAGTGATCAGTGCCTTCAAAGACTGCATCAACCTGGCTTGGTCTCCCCCTTCCAACACTGGAGGAACCAACATTCTGGGATATAACATGGAGAAACGCAAGAAGGGAAGCAACCTATGGAGCCCTGTCAATCCTGCAGATGATAAAATAAAAGGTTTCACCATTACAACTTCGGTTTTAATTTATTGTTATTTTCTTGTTCATCTCCAAATACTATGAAACACGGTTATTCCATACATGAAGTATAGCGGTTTAACCCATAACTTGCGCTATTGTTTTATATGTTTGCTTGTACCACAGAGAAGGAGTTTGGTGTGAAAGATGTGATAGAGGGCGTGGAATACGAGTTCCGTGTGGCAGCTATCAACAACTCTGGAGCTGGTGAATTTGGCACTCCTTCTGAGTTTGTGTTTGCCAGGGATCCCAAAAGTAGGTCATACTCAATGGTAATTTGTGTACATAGAAATTCTTTCAAATTAATCCATAGTTTTAAGAGACCTATTAATATGTCACTGATGTGTATCATTTCAGAGCCCCCCGGTAAAGTCCTTGACCTGAAGGTGACGGACTCCACCTACACCACCTTGTCCCTGGGTTGGACTAAACCAAGGGAGGAAGAGGGGGTTGAGGATGAAGCCAAGGGATACTTTGTGGAGATCAGACCAGCAGAAAGCCCAGAGTGGGACCGCTGTAACAATAACCCCATCACCATGACCTCCTTCACAGTGAAAGGCATGAAGTCAATGGCCATGTACTGGGTGAGAGTGATCGCCACCAATGACGGGGGAGAAGGCAAGCCGCAAGAGCTGGACAACTACATCCTGGCAATGCCCCCTCCTGGTAAGACCTTGAATTTCAAACATCCCTATTGGCATCAACATATTGAGATGACATAGCTTGATTGCAAGCACCCCCCCCCCCCCACCCCACCCCACCCCACCCCCAACTTTGACTGTATAGACAAAAAAAAAATGAATGTTGTTCTTATGCTTTTGCGTCATCCAGTCAGGCCAAGATTCACTGATCAAAAAGTCAAGAGTTTCATGGTGGTGCAAGCAGGGAATTCTGCACGATTCAACATGAACTTTGAGGTAAAAAGTGTGTTTTATTTCCAAGTCTAAAAAAATATCCACTTTCATACACATGGAAAGAACCCAAATGAATTCTTCACACTACCGGTTGGATAACACTCTTATGTAGATGTAGTGATTGTATTCTGATATTCTTCACAGGCCTCCCCTTGGCCAGATGTCACTTGGCTGAAGGACGGCATGCCTGTGTCCAAACGGGTTACCATCAGTAATGCTGAAGGGGCATCCCAACTTTTGATTCCTTCTTCAGAGCGTTCAGATACAGGAATCTACACCATTATGGTCAAGAATATCGTTGGCCAGGAGACATTCAGCATTGAGATCAGAGTTACAGGTGAGATGCTGATGGCATGGCTGACTGCGGTTCTGTAAATAACCAAGTTAAAAGCAGTTGAGGTCCAGTGTTAATCATTCATCACACAATTATTTGTGGTCCGATCTAGACGAGCCCAAACCTCCAGGTCCTGTGGAGGTAGATGAGAACGTACCGGGAACCGTGACCGTCTCCTGGACGCCATCTCCTGATGAGAAGAGGGACGACAGGCTGCACTACATGGTGTCTAAACGCGACTCGAGCAAGAGAACGTGGCACACAGTGGCAGATCACATCTTTAACAACAAGTTCACAGCCTGTAACATCATGCCTGGCAGAGAGTACCAGTTTCGTGTCTACGCCAAGAATGACATGGGCTCTTCTCAACCCTCTGAATCACCAAAGTGGGAAATCACAGGCAAAAGAGGTTTGTAAAAGCTGTTTGGGTCACTCTTTGCATAGTCCACGTGCTTTGAAATGCATCAAAAAGGCTAGCAATTTTATGGGTCACTTGTTGGTAATTCCAAAAACTGAGAGCTTGGGCACTGACTGGTCCAAAGTCTCCCCGGCTAGTCATTAGATGAAGGGAAGTGTCCATTCATGGTTTGCTGCTCCCAGAAGGGATCTTTAATAACGCTTTGAACTTTATTGTATCATGCTAAAGCTTTATCAAATATAAAAAAAAATATATATCAGCAAACGGTGAGCGGACATTTATACTTTCTACAGCTATCCTTTCATTTCTGTCCACCCCATTTGCCAAATTTGGATGTGTGTAATAACTACTGTAATCTTTAACAAGGTATGTGTTGCCTCTGTGTTTGTGTTTTCAGAAAGGTTTGTGCTGGACATGCCGGAGTCTAAGACCTGCAACCTAGAGCGTCCTCCCAAGTTCCTTGTCCCGTTGAAAATGCACAACGCTCCACAAGGTTATGAGTGCTACATGAGCTGCGCCGTGAGAGGGGACCCAACGCCCCATGTCACATGGTACCGCAATAATATCAGCCTCAACACCAACACCAACTACCTAATCTCCAACACCTGTGGGGTCTGCTCCATGCTCATACTGAGGGTCGGACCCAAGGACACTGGAGAGTACAAAATCATTGCAGAGAACCCCCTGGGCAGGGCAGAGTGCTCCACTAAGCTCACTGTCTCAGGTATAAACAACTGTTTTGCTGTACTACATTGAAATGTAAATCTCAGAGACAAAACTAATTTATTCTAGTGTTTTGAGAGCCAATAATGAATTTGAAATAGAAACCAATACATTTCAAAACAGTGTGATTTACTTATAATCCCATTTTGTGTTCTTGTTTTTCAGATTAGATTGGCATTAGAAAGAAGACAATCACGCCCTTATTTTTTTTCTTAAAGGAAAACTCCACCCAAAAACTATCTTTTGGTGTTTGTTTCATTAGTTCATTGTTGACATAGTCCCAAAATGTTTTGCTTGTCAGCAATCACGTTTTCAAGATATGTCACTTTCAAAATACAGAAATCATCCCCGTATGATGCATTTAGCATCATGCAAAATGCATCATATGGAGGATGATTTCTGTATTTTGAAAGTTGTGTATCTTGAAAACCATTGTATCAACAATGGACTAATGAAACAAATAACAAAATATCGTTTTTGGGTGGAATTTTCCTTTCACAGAGGTCCTCTGTTTTGTTTTCTAGTTCTGTGTAGAAATGACAGTGTATATTTTTTTAGTTAAGCGTTCCCTGTATCACATTTAATGTAATAATATTCTACATTCTGGGTGCTGCATATGTTTGGAGGCTCAGGTTGAGTACATTACAATGCATCACTCTTTGAATTAAGGAGAGACAATTATGTAACGTAATAAAATTGTGTTCAATAATCAAAAGCAGCCTAAAAGCAAGTCATGAAGTGTTGTGTTTGTGTTTTATTCCTCAAAGTGCAACATTGGTATAGGAAAGATGATTGGAAATTGAAATGATGCATGTTGCTATTGTTTTCAGTGACTTTTTAGTACATTTGATCTAGAAAATGAACAGTAAAAACAAGCAGAGAGCGAGGGATCACAATGTAATCCTTTGCATGGTTTACTGGCGTAAACATTCAAATGAGAACTGCAAATGTGTGGCTGTGGTTCATTAACTTCAAAGGTACTTAGTAATTTGTGAAATGTGTTTGCCTGCTGTTTATGCTTCTCATGGAGTAATGCTGATTTGCCTATTTATTCTTTGAAAACAAGAATCAAAATGAGTTGTCTATCGGTGATGTCTGTAGTGATTGTTTTCCTCTTTCATTTCCTTTAGGCTATCTTTATTTATTTTTTAAAAAGGTTACCATTTTAATATAATAGAACTTAATCAATCTACTATCTTCAACTAAATACAATGCAGAAATTAAACAAATAATGGATCTGAATGGTGTGTTGTAAAGGAGATGTTTTTATGTTGGTTACGCTATATACAAGAGCTTGGTGTAAATACATATTTCAAGCTCATACGATGTTGGAATTTTGAATTCTAAATGTTTGAACAGGAGAGTCAATAAAAATCAGTGATTATTAGTTTAATTTATGTACATTTTTGTGATGCTTTTTAGACACACCGGAATGCTTAGGTGATCCGTGTCTAACTTTGAGTGGTTTTAGTCAGCTACATAGCTTTCTTGATGGCTTTGAAATGTGTGGGAATAATTTATACCTACTGAATATTACAGTATATAACATAACAACCTGTTATTTTTATAGAGCACTCATTTTACATTTTGCTGATACTACTTGAAAAATATTTGTGACATACTGTACACACCTATTATGTGAGGAATGTATGTCCTGTCTCCTTGTATTACTCAGGGCATAGTTGTTTTGTGGGGTCAGAACAGTTGTCCAAGTTTGGTGTCATTGAAGAAGAGAGGGTTATCTGTTAACTCAGAGCTAAAACTCCATCCAAGGTTTACTATGGTACCAAGTCCGTTTTCAATTTCAGTTAGGAATGTCAATTTCAACACAATATAAAATCTAACTTTAATGTTTTGACAGGATAAAGCTCTCTTTTTCCACATTGACATGATCATTCTCTATAGCTGAAATACCCTGCTCATAGAAGACAGTACTTTAAGTAGATTTTGATTACTCATACCCAATAAATGACCAACTCCAATAGAGTGAAACTACGTGCTCAAATAAGTTAAACATTGCTAATTTGCAACCGGATTAAAGATAATTGGTCATCATTATACGCATACTATTTCCTGTGGCATGCAGTCTAACATCCATAGTCATCTTACGTAGCATACTAACCAGTCTAGGTCCATCGACAGAAGTGGAAACGTACCTTTAAAATGCAGGATGTAGAGATGCCCGGACAGTGTTCAATGTGTGTTGTTGCTCTCATTATGACACTTCTAGAACCTCTTTTAAAAAACGTACTCTATAAGAATGAATTCGGTCCAATGTCAAGCGGGTACCTTCATTTTGAGGGAGGAGTTAGCTATCCGTCAACTCTTGGTTGACTTTGGTACCTCCTTTTCAAGACCTGCAGCACTTGGGCCAAATAATGTATATGTCAGTAAGCCTATCCAGCAGTCACGGTGGAAGGACACGGCCAAGGCTTGCACTGAGCATCTCAAAAAGGGTTTATTGCCTCTCAAAACGAAGACACCACACTCAAGTATCAGAAGAACTGTGGCTAGAAGGAGCAGAGAGAAGAGCACCATCCACTGAGCGAGAACAAGTAAGTCCATTCCCTGGGCACAGGGCAAGGGGCTAAATGTCAACATGTGGGCATGATAATAATTCATGACATATTGATATCATTATTGATAAAAATCTGTCCTGTGTACCTATACTCAAATACACTATATGTACAGTGGGTCTCTCTGCACACCTTTTTGATCATAAACCAATTGTAAAATGATCCTAAGCTGTTTTAAAGGCTAATGGTATATGACGTCATTATGTCCTGTAAATAATCCAAATTAATGTAAGGTTGTTATGATGCAAGGAAGGGCATAAGTACATCTAATTGAATGCTGATGGAGATGGAGGCACAGCATCCAATTCCCAAATAAAACATCCATTACTTAGTGATGACAAACAATGATTAAGATGTCTATTGAACTGAAAAACACAATTAAAAACCAAAATATATAATAGTGAAATTAAGTAGATTTCAAGTTGTTGCTCAATTTACAGTCCAATAGTGATTACATAGGAAAATGGCATTCATCATGTTTATATTATCTGGAACCAATTGGCAGATGATGATGGTCTATTTTCAGGGATACACAGCTATCTAGTACTGTAACTAAAAGATGAGATGCCTTTTGAGCTGGAGATGAAATGAGCTTGAGCATTAGATGCCTTATGAGCTTAGCTTTGTAGTGGATGTACGATGGGTGCTCAATGTTGATACAGTATAATGATAACTAACCAAAAGTAAATGTGGGCAATACTGATATGTTCCCAAACTTTAATGGTTTGATACATCTTGTGACGCCCTCCTTTCAAACGATCGGAGCAGCTAAAAGAGGCATCTTCTAACTGTCAAGATGATGCTGTGTAGACACAAACCCCCACTGGAACTGCCCAGGCAGTAAAAAGAGACTGATTGCCACTAGACGGAGCTCGGCGTCCTGGGACATAGACCTGCCACATACCCATCTTATTTATAAATCAATCCCACAGCGCAGTTGCTAGACAGGGCTATTTTTCATCCCATACAAATATGGAAGTACAGCACAGCGTAGACGACGACGTTCAAACTTGCACGGAATCCTGACGAAAATCCGCCTCCTGGCTGGATTACATTACTTTGGTTGTCTCATTAACAATCCAAAAGCATGCAAAAGTTGTTAATGGAATTCCTAAAATAAGTGCATTTGAAGTCTTACAACTGTGAACTGTACAGCTAGTGAAAAAAGAATCATGGATTGTCTCCTAGCAACAATTAGTTTTTTTATGTGAAAAACATTTCATTCCTTGGCTAACCTCGTAGCAAAAAGCAGAGGTGCCAGAGTAAAAAGGAGGTGAAGAAGTCAGGATGAAGATGGTGAACAAGGAGAAGCTTTTAGCAATGTAACACTGCCAGGAGAATGGGATATATAATCATTTCCAAATATTCAATTAATATTTATATTCATTTCACATAAGCAATAGCATTAAATGTAGCATATATTCAAGCTCCAATGCATTCTGTCAAAGTGGACAAACACAATACATATATTGGCTCATGACCTGATACTTCTGAGAATGACCTTTTGCTCCTATTGATTTTAAAATTGCATTAAAATTAAATGGACATGAGGGAGGTAGTCTACAGTCGCCTGTTCCATTTTCAGCGAGTGACTTGCGTCACATGTTGCTCCATGATGGATAGTTTTATGATCTATTTGACCTATTGCATGCAAAATGAGGCAGGTCACTTGCCACAGCCTACTTTGGGCATGCTAAGTATTCTGTGATCACAGGAATTCTTTAATTTACTGTACATCTTGAGTTACCACCTCTTGGAGCATATCATGATCCAACCACCTGCACTAATACGTGCTGAAGTAAAAGTAGCGATTTAAAAAAGAAATGTACACTGACTGCACTGTCAAGTGACTGCACTGTCAAGTGTTTTTATGCAAAAGTCAGATCGTTAACATTTCTGTGCACAATTTACAAACTGTGCAAGTTGCTTCATACCAACAAATGTATTAAACATATTATAGTGTTTAAATAGAGGAAAAAAATCTGAATTTTGATCAAATATAGCATAGTGTGGGTATGGGTATTAGTTAAGAGTTTCATTGGATTTTGAAATGTAAACGTTTGTACTAGGCATTCGAGTAGACAATCGAGGGTGCCGGTATCACTGCACTCAACTCACCAAAAATATAAATAATCCACTTGCAAGAGTTTCCCATGACTTTTTTTCCAAGTGTCCTGCTTGTCCAAATGTTAAAGACAGGGACAAGAATGCTGTATCCTACAATCCGTCACACGCTCTCCCTCCCATTCCCCCTTTTAATAGAGACCTCACCAAGAGCAAGGTTTACTCAAAATGTGTCAGCATCAGATTCCTACGACAGAAATATTGCCTTAATCCAGCGGTTAAAGAAATGGGTACATGGCACCTGGTGGAACCATCTGTGGAAGATTAACTGTGTGGGAGACAGATGGGGTTTCATACTCTTACGAATAGCTGTCTTGTCCTGTGCTGCCTGCCATCCCACATGCTTAGCTCATATACTGCTGACATGCGCAGCAGTCTTCCTTCGTGGCCCTCAGTGAGGTCTGCTCTCCTTTGTAAGCCACTCACAGAAAGTGATTCCAATTAACACTGTGGAGTGCCATGACCCACAGACAACAGTCATGTCAACCAAGCAATCATGTACTGTAGGGTCTAGTTATGATACACATTATGTCGATCACACTAAATCAAAAAATTATCTTTGGTAATCTTACTTTTTCCCATTAGAAAGGTCTTCACCAGTTTATCTCAGGGTACCATTGTGCATTTATAATGGTATTCATGCAAAATGTATACAAAATCAACAGAGTTGATCTCTGTAGGTTAACCAGTTAGCCAACCATAGTACATTAGCCGTTTAAGCTTGTTGGTTAAATGTTTAATTTGTATAATGTAGCAATGTTTGCTTCCCGTAAATGTCATTAATAAACAGTGTTGGAAAATGTGTGAAAAAAAAAAAGGAAAACAAACTAGAGTGCAACAAGTAGCCTAATAGAGCCATTTTAGCTTAGCTAGATAGCTTGCTACTTTGTATGTCGTATGTCATTCCGGGAGCACACCAAGTCATGATTTTATATTAGAACAGGTTGATGGTGCTGGTTAAGCGATAAAAAAAATACCTTATTGACATCCCTACTTGGTTCACAACTTGATGCCAAACAAAAAAAGTGGATCTTGTTAACTTGATTTGAAATACATGTTCTCTATTTCAGTAGCAGAGAACCATCTGAAAAGCTGGTAAACTGCTATCCATAGCGAGATGAAATTCTTCAAGAAAACTAAAGATGAGGAGCCAACTGCTCCAGGGCAGGGTAAGTAATGCATTTTTTTCTAAACTGATGTTTTTAAATGTTTAGTTTAAGCTTTATTTAACTAGGCAAGTGAATTAAGAAAAAAATGTAAATTCGTATTTACAATAACAGCCTACCAAGAGGCAAAAGGGACAGGGATAAAAAATTTAAATGTTGGACAAAACACACATCATCACGACAAGAGACACAACAACACTACATGAAAAGAGACCTAAGACAACACAACATGGCAGCAACACAACATGGTGGCAGCACAAACATGGTATAAACATTACATGTTTTCTAAACATAACATACTTTTTTATCGAAGCGTAACTAATCAATATAAATGTTCATATAACAATCAATAAATCTGGTTTCTTTCGGGTTTCGTACTTAACTATATTCCTATAAGACGATTGTGGTGTACTGTATGTGTGTACGTCTAATCCTGCTCTTTGTCTTACATCCCACTAGTGGCAATCAAAAAGAGATCCAGAGTCCCTGGGGTCATGATTACACAGTTTGTGGAGGAGCTTCCTGAGGGCATGACCACTCCTGATTTCACCCGCAAACCCATCGCTTTGACTATTCAGGAAGGTATGGGTCATATATCAAACCACAATGACAATCTGAGATAGTACTAAAGTCTTTAAATGGCAAATATGTTCTTGATCCTTGCTTGAAATTGACATTATACTGAGTTGACATGAACTGTGTTTTATTGCATTCTTGTATACAGGGAAATGTGCTGTTTTCAAAGCAATTGTGTCTGGTAATCCGACACCAACTGTTCATTGGACAAGAAGTAACGGAGAAGTAAATGACCCAGAAAGATACAAAATGGTGTCTGATCCAGCCACGCCTAATGAACACTGTATAGAGGTGAGTCAACACACTGGTATTGGACAGGAGCAGCATTTTACAATCACATCTTTTTGGTCTTTCTAAACAACAAAATGAATCTGAAACAACCTGATTTCCACCTGATGTAATATCAACCAGAGGACGAAATAATCTAGAAGTATGTTGGCTGCAATCAAGACTAATAGATAACCTCGACATCCATGTTAGCGAGCGGTGAAATCACTGGCCGAGGTTGATTGCAATTGAGATCAGCTGTGTTATTTTAGCGCATATTGATGGTTTAACGAGAGATCAGCTGGTTACAATTAGCCCAATTAGCTCTTTTACAAATATATTTTTTTCACATAATGCCTTATCACTGTGGCTGTTACTTCTCTTCTTTGCTTTTGGCCCAAAAACAAACCCTTCGTCCCCAATCTGGGGTGACGTAACTGATGCAAATTGTATTCCAAATGGTAATACTCATGGTCAATTTCTGTACACAGATGCCGGAAGTATCAACAGAACAAGCTGATACCTACAAATGCTTTGCCACCAATGAGTATGGAAAAGCTGTGGTCACCGCTAACCTCAATGTAATTGAAAGTGAGGACACCATTACTCCTGGGTTGATATACAGCGTTAAACCTGGTTACATCTCATAACTGATTCTTGAACAAGAGAAACATGTTACGTTGAATAGATCCTTAACAAACACATATCTTCAGGATCTAAGCCAGACAAACTATAATTGATCCAATTGATCTTAATTAACCAATCTAATGAAACGTCTCTTGCCTTTCAGTGGGATATAAGAAGAGCAAGGCTATGAAAGATGCACGAGCAGGTCAGTCACTGAATTTGAATCACAAAACAGAGTTTAAGTGATGTTAACTGTAAAAAAAAAATACCTAAAAGTTTAATCTCAATTTAGCTGCTGTGAAGCCACCTGAAGATTTCAAAAGTCTCCTAACAAAAGCGTAAGACAATACTAGAAAAACAATCAAACATAGCTAGGTTCTAGATCCTAATTCTACCATAACAGTTTTGACGCATTAATGAGATGAAATTGTATTCTTCTTGTTTAAGGGTTGTAGGACCAGACAAAGTTGAGAAAAAAGATGGAGAAATCGATCCAAGGTTTTGGGATGTGTTGATGAGTGCCGACAAGAAAGACTATGAGAAAATCTGTCATGAGTTTGGAGTCACTAACTTTCGCTGGATGCTGAAGACACTGAATGCGAAGAAGGTTGAGAGGGAGGAGGAACAAGCAAAGGTTTGCCTAAATCAGAAATAATCAAACATAGTAAAAATAGGGAACTCCTGTATATAGATTGTTTTTTTACATCATTTTTTAGTCATTTACAGTAGCAGACGCTCTTATCCAGAGTGACTTACAGGAGCAATTAGTGTTAGGTGCTTTGCTCAAGGGCACACCGACAGATTTTTCACCTAGTCAGCTCGGGGATTCAAACCAGCGACCTTTCGGTTACTTGCCCAAACTCTGAACCGCTAGGCTACCTGCCGCCCAGCATTTCCCAGTATGTGAAAAGTGGGGTATTTATTCCTCTTACATACACTGTTGTATTCCAAAATGAACAGTAACTGAATATCACTAACATCATTACGAGTGAATGTGTTTTTTGCTCCTACAGTATGTCGAAAACCTCAGCAATCTGAAACACATTGAAGTCAAACCTGGTGGAGGTGCAGAGTTTGAATTTGAGATGTCGCTTAAAGACCCCAACGTTAAGATCTTCCTGTTCAAGGTGAGAATGGTGTGAAATACACACTGTTATATGCATTGTAAACAACAACCGAGCAGAACATGTTTGATTCTATTTTAGAATAACTAATGTGTCTTTACATGAAATGTGTTTTTTTCATGCATTCATTAAGACTAAAAATGTGTTGTTGTACAGAATGGAGTAATGGTTCCTTTCAGTGTCGACACAGAAGAGAAGCATTTTCTGAAGAAAACAGGCAGGAAAATTTACATTTGGCATTAAGGATCTTGCAGGAGATGATGAAGGATTGTACCAAGTGATGGTGGAGGGAGTACTTATCTTCTCAACTGACTTCAAAGGTGAGATGTCTGCAATTTATTCTCTGTTTAATCATTTCCCGTTTCATATAGGCTAACAATCTCTAAGGTCAACAAAATTCCCTCAGGTTAGCCGGTACCCAAAAATAAATGTCTGTTCATTATCCATCAAAACAAAAAGGGAACATAACACATACAGTGGGGAGAACAAGTATTTGATACACTGCCGATTTTGCAGGTTTTCCTACTTACAAAGCATGTAGAGGTCTGTAATTTTTCTCTCACAGACCTTTTAGTTTTTCTTTAAGAAGCCCTCCTGTTCTCCACTCATTACCTGTATTAACTCCACCTGTTTGAACTCGTTACCTGTATAAAAGACACCTGACCACACACTCAATCAAACAGACTCCAACCTCTCCACAATGGCCAAGACCAGAGAGCTGTGTAAGGACATCAGGGATAAAATTGTAGACCTGCACAAGGCTGGGATGGGCTACAAGACAATAGGCAAGAAGCTTGGTGAGAAGGCAACAACTGTTGGCGCAATCATTAGAAAATGGAAGAAGTTCAAGATGACGGTCAATCACCCTCGGTCTGGGGCTCCATGCAAGATCTCACCTCGTGGGGCATCAATGATCATGAGGAAGGTGAGGGATCAGCCCAGAACTACACGGCAGGACCTGGTCAATGACCTGAAGAGAGCTGGGACCACAGTCTCAAAGAAAACCATTAGTAACACACTACGCCGTCATGGATTAAAATCCTGCAGCGCACGCAAGGTCCCCCTGCTCAAACCAGCGCATGTCCAGGCCCGTCTGAAGTTTGCCAATGACCATCTGGATGATCCAGAGGAGGAATGGGAGAAGGTCATGTGGTCTGATGAGACAAAAATAGAGCTTTTTGGTCTGAACTCCACTCGCTGTGTTTGGAGGAAGAAGGATGAGTACAACCCCAAGAACATCATCCCAACCGTGAAGCATGGAGGTGGAAACATCATTCTTTGGAAATGCTTTTCTGCAAAGGGGACAGGACGACTGCACCGTATTGAGGGGAGGATGGATGGGGCCATGTATCGCGAGATCTTGGCCAACAACCTCCTTCCCTCAGTAAGAGCATTGAAGATGGGTCGTGGCTGGGTCTTCCAGCATGACAACGACCCGAAACATACAGCCAGGGCAACTAAGGAGTGGCTCCGTAAGAAGCATCTCAAGGTCCTGGAGTGGCCTAGCCAGTCTCCAGACCTGAACCCAATAGAAAATCTTTGGAGGGAGCTGAAAGTCCGTATTGCCCAGCAACAGCCCCGAAACCTGAAGGATCTGGAGAAGGTCTGTATGGAGGAGTGGGCCAAAATCCCTGCTGCAGTGTGTGCAAACCTGGTCAAGACCTACAGGAAATGTATGATCTCTGTAATTGCAAACAAAGGTTTCTGTACCAAATATTAAGTTCTGCTTTTCTGATGTATCAAATACTTATGTCATGCAATAAAATGAAAATTAATTACTTAAAAATCATACAATGTGATTTTCTGGATTTTTGTTTTAGATTTTGTCTCTCGCAGTTGAAGTGTACCTATGATAACAATTACAGACCTCTACATGCTTTGTAAGTAGGAAAACCTGCAAAATCGGCAGTGTATCAAATACTTGTTCTCCCCACTGTAAGTGTCATTATGTTCCAGATAAAGTCTTCCATTCAAATCTGTCTTTTATTCAGTTCCCATGGTGGACTTCCTGGTCAAGATTCAGGAAGTGAAGGCCATGGAGAGAGAGGATGCCGTGTTTGAGTGTGTCCTGTCATCCCCCATGTCAAAGATTCAATGGACGGGAAGGAATCAACCATGTGAACAAGGGGAGAAGTTTGACATCGAAGTGTCAGAGGACATGCTCATCCATAGATTGGTTGTGAAGGACTGTGCGAAACTGGATGGTGGCATCTATTCAGTATCTGCAGGGATCAAGTCTTGTAATGCCTTTCTTGTTGTGGAGGGTAAGGAGATGACATTTCAAACACAAAAAGTGTTGCTAAGTCATGTGACTCTTACTTGTGTAACAGCATATAATGTCAAATGTCACTTGTTAAAGAAATTGATCAATATCAATCAATCATTTTCAATATCAGACAGTGAAATGCAAAACATTGACAATCAATTTTCCCCACAGATTTATTAACCTATAACTCTACCTATGTTCTTATTTGCACCCCAAGCTGATAACGATCCAGCCAGCAAGGGGAAAAAGAAAGTACGCAAAACAACTCGAGCAGGTGGGGGAGACGTAGACTTGGCTAAAATAGCTGCAGAGCAGCAAGCTAAGCTGGCGAAAGAGAGAGATGAGAGAATGGAGTTGGCGAAACAGATTAAGGCAGACATGGACGCTAAGGCAGCAGCAGAACCCGAACCAGAGCCTGAGAACAAGGAAGAGAAGAAGAGAGAGCTTGGAGACGGAGAGATGCCAGTTGAAGAGAAGAGAGAGCTTGGAGACGGAGAGATGCCAGTTGAAGAGAAGAAGAGAGAGCTTGGAGATGAAGAGATACCAGTGGAAGAGAAGAAGAAAAGGGTGAGAACAGGTCCACTGATCCCAGACACCATCATAGGTAAGAGGTTCCAAGGTGTCCAATGATTTGTAATGTCCAGGCATTACATTCACACTACATCACCTTCCTAACCAATTGACAACCACTTGATGTATCCTCTAGACCCAGGAGTGCACTTCACCAGTGGATTGTCAGACGTCAGTGTTAATATGGGAAACAGAGGGGAACTGGAATGTAAACTGAGCAGTGACAACTGTGAAGGAATCTGGTACAAAGATGGAGAAGAGGTGAGATAGAAAAAGGGTAGTAACTTTGAACATCATTTAAACCGAGTCCTTAGATTTGGAAATGCAATACTCTTCAAAAATGGAATGTCTCAAATCAAACTTGTTTTTTGCCATCTTGTTTTGCCAACTACTACAGCAGGTCAGTTCTGTTCAGCATCAAACTGTGAAATACACTAATGGAATTGCAGAGGCTAAATGCAGAAAAACTAATAATTGAGCTTCAACAGCGCATGCATTTGTTTGTAGGTTTAAACAGTAATTTGTGTGTTTCCTTCCAGATAGAAGCATCAGATGATATTGAGATGACACATGATGGGGCCTTTCACAGGCTTATACTGAAGAACTGCAAGGAGGAAGATTCTGGCAAATACCGATTTGAGGCTGATGGACGTAAAACAGAGGCCATGCTCATTGTAGAGGGTAAAGGAATCCATCCATCCAACTTTTGAAATAATGAATGTAAACATTGAGGCGGATGAACTGAAGCTCAGGATCCGTATTGCGCGAATGCAGCATACTCTGAAGTAGCATATGCAATGCCAAGTCAACTAACATACAGTGGCTTGCAAAAGTATTCACCCACATTGGCATTTTTCCTATTTTGTTGCCTTACAATCTGGAATTAAAATATATTTTTTGGGGGTTATGGATCATTCGATTTACACAACATGCCTACCACTTTGAAGATGCAAAATATTTTTTATTGTGAAACAAACAAGAAATAACACAAAAAAAACTAACTTGAGCATGCATAACTATTCACCCCAGTCTCAATTCTCTGGAAGACTGAAACAGGTTTCCCTCAAGAATTCCCCTGTATTTAGCGCCATCCATCATTCCTTCAATTCTGAACAGTTTCCCAGTCCCTGCCGATGGAAAAACATCCCCACAGCATGATGCTGCCACCACCATGCTTTACTGTAGGGATGGTGTTCTCGGGGTGATGAGAGGTGTTGGCTTTGCGCCAGACATAGCGTTTTCCTTGATGGCCAAAAAGCTCAATTTTAGTCTCATCTGACCAGAGTACCTTCTTCCATATGTTTGGGGAGTCTCCCACATGCCTTTTGGCGAACACTAAACGTGTTTGCTTATTTTTTCCTTTAAGCAATGGCTTTTTTCTGGCCACTCTTCCATAAAGCCCAGCTCTGTGGAGTGTACGGCTTAAAGTGGTCCGATGGACAGATACTTCCATCTCCGCTGTGGAGCTTTGCAGCTCCTTCAGGGTTATCTTTGGTCTCTTTGTTGCATCTCTGATTAATGCCCTCCTTGCCTGGTCCGTGAGTTTTGGTGGGCGGCCCTCTCTTGGCTGGTTTGTTGTGGTGCCATATTCTTTCCATTTAAAAAATAATGGATTTAATGGTGTTCCGTGGGATGTTCAAAGTTTCTGATATTTTTTTATAAACCGACCCTGATCTGTACTTCTCCACAACTTTGTCCCTGACCTGTTTGGAGAGCTCCTTGGTTTTCATGGTGCCGCTTGCTTGGTGGTGCCCCTTGCTTTGTGGTGTTGCAGACTCTGGGGCCTTTCAGAACAGGTGTGAATATATACTGAGATCATGTGACAGATCATGTGATACTTAGATTGCACACAGGTGGACTTTATTTAACTAATGATGTGACTTCTTAAGGTAATTGGTTGCACCAGATCTTATTTAGGGGCTTCATAGCAAAGGGGGTGAATACATATGCACGCACCACTTTTCCATTATTTATATTTTTGAATTTTTTGTAACAAGTAATTTTTTCCCAGAGTGGCGCAGTAGTCTAAGGCACTGCATCGCAGTGCCAGCTGTGCCTCTAGAGATCCTGGTTCGAGTCCAGGCTCTGTCGCAGCTGGTTGCGACCGGGAGACCCATGGGGCGGCGCACAATTGGCCCAGCGTCATCCCGGGTAAGGGAGGGTTTGGCCGGCAGGGATGTCCGTGTCCCATTGCGCACTAACGACCCCTGTGGCGGGCCGGGCGCAGTGCATGCCATCTCGGTCGCCAGGTGTACAGTGTTTCCTCCGACACATTGGTGCGGCAGGCTTACGGGTTAAGTGGGCACTGTGTCAAGAAGCAGTGCAGGTCGGTTGGATTGTGTTTCGGAGGACGCACGATTCTCGACCTTCACCTCTCCCGTGTCCATACGGGGGTTGCAGCGATGGGACAAAGACTGAGTACCAATTTGGATACCACGAAATTGGGGAGAAAAAGGGTAAAATAACACTTCACCAATTTGGACTATTTTATGTATGTCCATTACATGAAATCCAAATAGAAAATCAATTTAAATTACAGGTTGTAATGCAACAAAATATGTAATGCAACAAAATAGGAAAAATGCCAAGGGGGATGAATACTTTTGCAAGGCACTGTATTGTAGCTACTATATGTACTGTACTTGCGCTACTAAATGTATGTGATATCTGCGTTCCAGATCCACCCAGAGTAAACCCAGATGACTTGGCTGACTTCTCAAAGCCCGTCATAATAAAGGTTGGCCAGAGCGCTACCTTCAAGCTGTCTTTTATGGGTCGTGACCCAATTAAGATCTATTGGTACAACGAAGGTGAGGAGTTGGCAGAGGACAAACACATCAACATTGAGAAGTCGCTCACACACAGCCGCCTCCTCCTCAGCAAGTGCCAGCGGAAAGCCACAGGAGAAATCAAGATCAAGATAAAAAATGAATGTGGAACCATTGAGGGCATATCCAGGTTGATTGTACTGGGTCAGTGGGATGATTTGAATCTATTTACAATGTTGCTGTGATAATCCTTTGTGCTTGCCTGAATGACACGAGGGTGTCTCCACCTTTTTAAACAATATTGGCAATACAGCTTCTAGCTTCATACACAGCATTATCTAGGATAACATAGGCCTAACTACAGTATAATTAGGATCCCCTACATCTATTCACAGACAAACCAAGCCCTCCCCTAGGACCTGTGGAGATCATTGAAGCTTCTTCGGCTGTCCTTGACTTTAAATGGAGGCCTCCCAAAGACGATGGTGGCTCTCCTGTGATCAACTACATCCTGGAACGCCAGCAGCTGGGCCGTAACTCCTGGATGAAGCTGGGTCAGATCCCTGGAGAGCCCAAATACAGGGACACCAATGTAGACCATGGCAGGAAGTATTGCTACCATGTCAGGGCTGTGACTGAGCAGGGCATAAGTGAAATGATGGAGACAGATGACATCCAGGCTGGTACAAGAGGTAAGACATAATCTGTCACCAGAATGCAGCATTTAGCTGTTGAATTGGGGTTCTCGGTCTCCCAGTGGAGGATGCCCTCAGACCTCCAAAATTCACTTTTTTTCTTGTTCTCTAGCATATCCCGGACAACCTTCCTCACCCAAAGTGGTCAGTGCCTTTGCAAACTGCATCAATCTGGAATGGGTTCCCCCTTCCAACACTGGAGGAACTAATATTCTAGGATACCACCTGGAGAAACGCAAGAAGGGCAGCAATCTATGGGGTTCAATCAACCATATGAAAGAGCCTATCAAAGGTGTGGCCTTTTCAATACTTGGGTCATCATCCAAGTGACTTTCTGTATTTTTTTAAATTCTAATTGCATATCCATTCTATACCAGTACACTAAATGAATTGTATTTAACACATTGCTATAAATACAACCATACTGCCATAGTGCTGAAACAATACAGATATTTTGATCCCTTCATAAGCTATTTTTGTCACACCCACACCTTCAGGTCAAGGGTTTGCTGTCAAAGACGTTATTGAGGGAATGGAGTATGAGTTCCGTGTTGCAGCCATCAACATATCTGGTGCTGGAGAGCCAAGTACCCCCTCTGAATCTGTTATTGCAAGAGACCCAAAGAGTAAGTATTATGATCTGTTTCATTCTGAGATAGCGATGATGAACTGAAGAGCAAGTAATACTCTGAAAAGCAGCCATCATTTGATAATATAACACGTCGTATGACTGGTAAAAAAGGCATGACGTTACAGTTAAAATATGAAGTATGTTTGTGAGCAGCTGTTGCACACAGTATATTCTATTCCCCTCTGAAATCAGTTGTGTTCTTTCAGAGCCCCCCGGTAAAGTCCTTGACCTGAAGGTGACGGGCTCCACCTACACCACCTTGTCCCTGGGTTGGACTAAACCAAGGGAGGAAGAGGGGGTTGAGGATGAAGCCAAGGGATACTTTGTGGAGATCAGACCAGCAGCAAACCCAGAGTGGGACCGCTGTAACAATAACCCCATCATCATGACCTCCTATAACATTTTGGGTCTTAAGTCAATGGCCATGTACTGGGTGAGAGTGATCGCCACCAATGACGGGGGAGAAGGGGAGCCCAAAGGCTTGGAAAGCTACATCATTGCAATGCCCCCCCCAGGCGAGTGACATCAAATCAGCAACATTGTTTTTGTCAAGTTTGTGTTCACAGTATCGTGATAGTAGTTCTTAGACTGAAAAACAGAATGAAAACCTAGACTTATTATATTCAGTATCTTATTTCAAGCTATATAATTTCAAAGGTTTTTTGACAATTTTCTTATTTCTCATAGTGAGACCACAATTCACTGATCGCAACATGAAGAGCTTCATGGTTGTGAGAGCCGGGAATTCTGCTCGAATCAACATCAACTTTGTGGTCAGCAAAATCTTATGCATGTAAACAATGCCATATCCTGTCTTACATCAGAATGACAAGTTTCAAAGACAAATTACAAAACTCAGTCTGCTATTGCGTCTAAGTGTGATACTCTGTGACCTAGAATGTGTTGCGATGGTGTAGAAATACAATATCAGAGCAACAAATTCCGTACTGAAATGTGATGGATGTTAACAGAGATACTTAGATAAGTGGATTGCTCATTGTAGAAACATTCACTTAACCTTTTATTGCCATGGGCTAAATCAGGGTCACACAGAGTGATTCTTGGCAGCCTTAACCAAATCTACTTTGAAACAAAAGTATACACCTCACACATGGTTATGGGCTTAAAAAAAGAAGACACCTGTACCATGTCAGATATATAGTATGTATTAAGTTTGTATCCCAATATTACACTTTATATACATCAGAAGACTGAAATATAACAAAATAGTTGACATAAACACAGGATTTCGTCAGTTAAAAAAAGTAATAATATATTCCACCCATGAGGCCAAAGAGGGCGCTTTTGATCATTGACTGCAGGAAAGGGCTACAACCCCAAACAAACTAATCTGTCTATTTCTACTTTGTCTTTTGGCAGGCTTCTCCTATGCCAAACATAACATGGCTAAAGGATGGGATGCCAGTGTCAAAACGTGTAACCATTAGCAACTCTGATAATACATCCCAGCTCCTAATCCCCACCTCTGAGCGTCCCGACACAGGAATCTACACCATCATAGTCAAGAACATGGTTGGTCAGGAGACCTTCAGTGTTGAGATCAGAGTCACAGGTATGGTCATATAAGATTCCACTACATATTGACAGTGAGTGGTATTGACAGTGAGTGGTGGAAAGTGAGTGGTCTTGACAGTCAGTGGTGGAAATCTGTAAGAGATCGCTACTGTGTTTACTATCTGTCATCTGTGGCGTGAGGAGGGGGTGTGAGGGAGTGGTGTTGTGGGATTATTTGAGATATTACTTGAAGAAGTAGGGTTTTAGATGTTTTCGGAGGTTGGGCAGAGACTCTGCTGTCCTAGCTTCAGGGGGAAGCTGGTTTCACCATTGGTGTGTCAGGACAGAGGAGGGCTGAGCAGGAGCACCAAAAGACCAGAGGTGGCAGAACGGAGTGCTCGGGTTGGGGTGTAGGGTTTGAACATAGCCTGAAGGTAGGAAGGGGCAGTTCCTTGCTGCTCTGTAGGCAAGTACCATGGTCTTGTAGTGGATATGAGCTTCGACTGGAAGCCAGTGGAGTGTGTGGAGGAGAGGGGTGACATGGGAGAACTTGGGAAGGTTGAACACCAAGTGGGCTGCAGTATTCTAGATAAGTTGCAGGGGTTTGATGGCACAAGTGGGGAGCTCAGCTAACAGAGTCCAGACGGGAGATGACAAGTGCCTGGATTAGGATCTGCGCCGCTTCCTGTGTGATGTAGGGTCGTACTCTACGGGATGTTGTAGAGCATGAACCTTCAGAAGCGAATCACTGCTTTGAAGTTTGCAGAGAACGACAGGGTGTTGTCAAGGGTCACGCCAAAGTTATTTGCACTCTGGGAGGAGGACACCGTGGCGTTGTCAACCATAATGGAGAGCTCTTGGACTGGGCAGGCCTTCCCCGGGAGGAAGAGAAGCTCCGTCTTGTCGAGGTTGCGCTTGAGGTGGTGGGCCGACATCCAAGCGGAGATATCTGCCAGAGACGAGTGTCGCCACCTGGGTGTCAAAAGGGGGGAAGGAGAAAAGTAGTTGCGTGTCATCCGCATAGCAATGATAGGAGAGACCATGTGAGGATATGACACATGCCGAAGAATTGTGTGTTCTGTAGTCTACTTTACAACAAAAAATATGTTTTATCACACTGTATGTGTTCTTATATGTACTGTACATTTAAATTAATGGTTGACGACCATTTCTCTCTTACCTGGTTCCAGATGATCCCAAGCCTCCCGGCCCAGTGGAGTTGGAGCAGAATGTTCCTGAAACAGTGACTGTGACCTGGACTCCCTCCCCAGACGAGAAGCGGGACGACAGGCTGTATTACATAGTGTCCAGACGCGACTCCATCAAGCGCATGTGGCAAACTGTAGCCGACCGCCTCTTCAACAACAAGTTCACAGCCCTCAACATCATGGCTGGACGAGAGTACTACTTCCGTGTCTACGCCAAAAATGACATGGGGATCTCTGAGCCTTCTGAGTCGCCAACCTGGGGAGTGACCAAGAAAAAAGGCACGTTAAGATTGTCATGTGTCATTGTTGATTGTCCAGAGAGAGAGAATCATAAGTCACCCTCAAGAGGAAACCAAAAACAGACATTTGTTGATTGGTAGTTGGTTAACACATTTGTCATTTCAAGGGGAGAAGCTCCAGCACACTGTGGTCTGTAACAGTTTTTTTTAAAAGGTCTCATACCAAAACCTTGTGGTCACAGAAATATGACACTGTACTTTGAACATCAGTTCAATGAGTTAACAGTTTCACATCTCATGAATAGGCCTAAACAAAACAAAACTAAGTCATAAAAGCAATTTGACTAGGAATTTGACTAGACTTTCCCCTATTTGTGTTTCATGTAGATAAGTTCTCCATGACTTTCCGGTCATCCAAGAGCCTCAACTTTGAGTCAGCGCCATCGTTCTTAGTTCCACTGAAAGCGCACAGCACCCCGGAGAGCTATGAGTGCTACATGAGCTGCGCCGTGAGAGGGGACCCAACGCCCCATGTCACATGGTACCGCAATAATATCAGCCTCAACACCAACACCAACTACCTAATCTCCAACACCTGTGGGGTCTGCTCCATGCTCATACTGAGGGTTGGACCCAAGGACACTGGAGAGTACAAAATCATTGCAGAGAACCCCCTGGGCAGGGCAGAGTGCTCCACCAAACTCACAGTCAACGGTATAAAAAAAAACAAATTGCTGTACTATATTGAAATATAGCATGTTCACATGATGTGTAATATAATGTTTTTAAACTACAATCGCTCTTCTTCATTATCTTTCAGAGTGAAGTGGTTCCACAGTCCTCCAGTTCTGCTTAGCAATGACTATTAGATTGCCCAGAGCAACCAGAAACACTGCAGAAAGCTGAAATGGATGGATGCGTGTTGATTATATCCTCAGAGAGTGGGCATGTTCTTTAGTCTTCTGGAAAAAGAAGATAATCGGTAGTGGTTTGAGATACAGAAGTGTGTGTTGAAAGAGATTATATAATGACTTTATCATACTGTAAATAGGCCTGCAATGAGTTTATCCTACTTTTGTTTGACAGAAACTTGAGAATACAATCCTAGATGTTTTCTCTTGTTGACTCTCAAGACTAAAGAGAGACAGAGACAACAGAAGAGATTCCCATCATTTAAGAAACATGCAATTTGAAATCAATATTCCATAGGCCACTCACATGGTGTCCATTGCATAGGCTGTCCACTGTACCCCCATACAGTATTCAATGGGCACACACCCTGGTATTGTTTTGCCAACTGTTACACAGCTTCACATATCTATTTTACTGCTAGCATGCAGTCGTGTTCTTTCAGAGGATATTGAGAGTTTATAATGGAAGGTCATAAATTAGAAGAATTCATAGGCATGACTGAGTTTGACCTTATGTACATTTGGTCCGGGACTGGTTTCAAGTTTCAGAAAGCGTAAACTTTCTGCATGACCGTGCATGGTTCTGTAATGATTATTGACTTAAGAGGCCAATAATTATTTCATAGCATAACAATGTATCAGGCATTGACATTTACAGGCATATAAACTGGTGGACAAGACTAACTTAACTGTATTTACACTGTATTTTACGCTTGTTTTTAGACTCTGTATAAATACAGTAATACAACATTATTTAAAGTTTGATTCATGGAAATTTAAGTCAAATTCCTAATAGTGAAAGCAAGTTATCCTAATTGTCGGCTACTTGAGATTCAGTGTACTGTCAATCTGATTTTGAACCTAATAACTTGTTTATATTGGCCCAAAAAAAATTAAGTGGCAACAAGTGGTTATAGGCTTCCCTTTATTTGTTTGGTAAAAATCTATAAACAACTGGATGTTAAAAGCAATGGACAGGAAACGTGGGGTGTGAGTTGATGCAGAATTGTTTCGTGAAGTAATACTTATAGCTCTTGACCCTGTGTGGCCCCTGCAGTAAATGCCTTCTGGAACATCAAGCATCTCAGCTCAGCTTCCCATGCCTGTGTCCGGTCAACCTTCCTGTGTCAAGTACCAACTATTATTTTGTCGCCTGAAATATCCACAACACACAGGCAATCGTGCTTGGACCCAGCATAACTGTGTCATTGCTAAGAATACAATAAAGATAAAGTTCCTGTGTTCTAAGTTCCAACCAGTTCCTGTGTTCTAAGTTCCAACCAGTTTCTGTGTTCTAAGTTCAAATCACATCAAATTTTATTGGTTGCATACTTAGCAGATGTTATTGAGGGTGTAGCAACATGATTTTGTTCCTAGCGCCAACAGCACAGTAGTATCTAACAATTCACAACAATACACACAAATCTAAAAGTAAAATAATGGAATTAAGAAAAATATAAATATTAGGACAAGCAATGTCGGAGTGGCATTGACCAGAATACAGTAGAATACAGTATATACATATGAAATGAGTAAAACCGTATGTAAACATTATTAAAGTGACCAGTGGTCCATTATTAAAATGACCAGTGATTCCATGTCTATGTACACAGGGCTGCAGCCTCTAAGGTGCAGGGTTGAGTAACCGGGTTGTAGCCGGCTAGTGACAGTGACTAAGTTCAGAGCAGGGTACTGGGTGGAGGCCGGCTAGTGATGGCTATTTAGCAGTCTGAAGGCCTTGAGATTGAAAAACAGCTTCTGTCTCTCGGTCCCAGCTTTGACGCACCTGTACTGACCTCTCCTTCTGGATGGTAGCGGGGTGAACAGGCCGTGGCTCGGGTGGTTGATGTCCTTGATGATCTTTTTGGCCTTCCTGTGATATCGGGAGATGTAGGTGTCCTGGAGGGCAGGCAGTGTGCCCCCGGTGATGCGTTGGGCAAACCGTACCACCCTCTGGAGAGCCCTGCGGTTGCGGACAGTGCAGTTGCAATACCAGGCGGTGATACAGCCTGGCAGGATGTTCTCAATGGTGCATCTGTAAATGTTTGTGAGGGTCTTAGAAGCTAAAAAATAATTTATTCAGCCTCCTGAGGTTGAAGAGCTGCTGTTGCGCCTTCACCACACTGTCTGTGTGGGTGGACCATTTCAGATTGTCAGTGATGTGTACGCTGAGGAACTTAAAGCTTTTCACCCTCTCCGCTGTGGCCCCGTCGATGTGGATGGGGGCGTGCTCCCTCTGCTGTCTCCTGAAGTCCACGATCAGCTCCTTTGTTGGTAATCAGGCCTACTACTGTTGTGTCATCTACAAACTTGATGATGGAGGACTCCCGAGTGGCACAGTGGTCTAAGGCACTGCATCGCAGTGCTAGCTGTGCCACTAGAGATCCTGGTTCAAGTCCAGGCTCTGTCGCAGCTGGCCGCGACCGGGAGACCAATGGGCGGCGCACAATTGGTCCAGCGTCGTCCAAGGTAGGGGAGGGTTTAGCTGGCAGGGATGTGGGTTCGTTTCCCACGGGGGGCCAGTATGAAAAAATAAAAAAAAATAATAATAATAATAATATATGCATTCACTAACTGTAAGTCGCTCTGGATAAGAGCGTCTGCTAAATGACTAAAATGTAAATGAGTTGGAGGCATGCGTTGCCATGCAGTCATGGGTGAACAGGGAGTACAGGAGGGGGCGGTGCATGCACCCCTGTGGGCCCCTTGTGTTGAGGATCAGCGTAGTGGAGGTGTTGTTTCCTACCTTCACCATCTGGGGGTGGCCCGTCAGGAAGTCCAGGACCAAGTTGCACAGGGTGCGGTTCAGACAGGAAGTCCAGGACCAAGTTGCACAGGGTGCGGTTCAGACAGGAAGTCCAGGACCAAGTTGCACAGGATGCGGTTCAGACCCAGGTCCCCGAGCTTAATTATGAGCTTGGAGGGTACTATGGTGTTGAAGGTTGAGCTGCAGTCAATGAACAGCATTCTTACATAGGCATTCCTCTTGTCCAGATGGGCTAGGCCAGTGTACAGTGCGATGGCATCGTCTGTGGATCTATTGGGTATGCAAATTGAAGTGGGTCTAGGGTGTGATATGATCCTTAACTAGCCTCTCAAAGCACTTCATGATGACATGACATGATGACAAAAGTGAGTCATTTAGTTCAGTTACCTTTCTTGGGTACAGGAACAATGTTGGACATCTTGAAGCAAGTGGGGACAGCAGACTAGGATAGGGAGAGATTTAATATGTCCATAAACACTTCAGTCAGCTAGTCTGTGCATGCTCTGATGACGCGGCTAGGGACGCCATCTGGGCTGGCAGCCTTGCGAGGGTTAACACGCTTAAATGTCATACTCTCGTTGGCTATTAAGTACGAAAGCCCACAGTCCTCTGGAGCGGGCCGCGTTGGTGGCACTGTGTTATCCTCAAAGGAGGCGAAAAAGATGTTTAGCTTGTCTGGGAGTTAGACGGTGTCCGCATCGTGGCTGGTTGTCCCTTTGTATTCCGTGATTGTCTGGAGTCCCGTCTCATGTCTGAGCCGTTGAATTGCGAGGTTTTACCTGTTTGATTGTCTTACAGAGGGCATAACTGCACTGTTTGTATTCAACCATATTCCCAGTCACCTTGCCGTGGTTAAATGCGGTGGTTCACGCTTTCAGTTTTGCGCAAATGCTGCCATCTATCTATGGTTTTTGGTTTGGGTAGGTTTTAATAGTGACAGTGGGAACAACATCCCCTCTACACTTCCTGATGAACTCAGTCACTGTGTCAGTGTATAGACCTGGAACATATCCCAGTCCGAATGATCAAAACAATCTTGAAGCATGGATTCTGATTGGTCAGACTAGCGTTGAATAGACCTTAGCACGGGTACTTCCTGTTTGAGTTTCTGCCTATAGGAAGGGAGGAGTAGAATGGAGTCATGATCTGATTTGCCAAAGGGAGGGCATGGGGAGATCTCTTGTAGCCATCCCGGAAGGGAGTAACAATGGTCGAGAGTTTTTGAAGTGCGAGTACTACAGGCAACGTGTTGATAGAACTTCGGTAGCGTTTTCCACAAATCTGCTTTGTTAAAGTCCCCAGCTGCAATAAATGCGGCCTCAGGATATGTGGTTTCCAATTTGCACAAAGTCCAGTGTAGCTACAGTGTAGCTAATGGCCTCCTGGAGCTCAGTTGGTAGAGCATGGTGCTTGCAACGCCAGGGTTGTGGGTTTGATTCCCACGGGGGGCCAGTATGAAAAATGTATGCACTCACTAACTGTAGTTTTTTATTCCTGTCTGCGCGATGTACTGAGAACCCAGCTGGCTGTATTGACTGAGACAGTATATCCGGAGAGATCCATGATTCCGTGAAACAGAGTATGTTAGAGTCCCTGATGTCTCTCTGGAAGGAGATCCTCGCCCTGAGCTCGTCTACTTTATTGTCCAGGGACTGAACATTAGCGAGTAATATACTCGGAAGTGGTGGATGCTGTGCACGCCTCCTGAGTCGGACTAGAACTCCACTCCGAATACCTCTTCTCCGACCAGTTCTTGCGTTCTATGTTCCTGATTGCAGGATTGGGATTGTGTCAAGCACATTTTAGATGTTGAAAGTTGCTTGCAATCCATGTTGTGTCATCTACAAGGAAATAAAGCCGTTTCCCCTACAGATACTATACAGAACTGCACTAAAAAAAATTATATAACGCTGTAGATAAAGTTCTGAATGACAGAATTTCATGTGTACAACATCTAAAGACCTACATCACTATACTGAGGGTGTGTCTGTTTCTAAAAGGACATATGTGGGTGTTTTTGGGAGCTTTTGTA